TTTTGGGAAAAAGAGGGGAGTAATAAGAAAGACACTTAAAGTAATTATGCCTTGACCTTGTTTGGTTTAAGAGGGAGCCAAATGAAACTGGCTATGTCATTAAATCCTACAACAAAGTAGCATTTCTGTACATGTTGAGAAGCATGAAGAATCAGAAGCAAACACTGATTCTTCATGTAAGAACAAAGTTTAGCTAAAGGGACAATGCCTGCACAGATTTTTAAGACGACTGTGAAAATGGGTCAACTGAAAAAAATATGTCATAGATTATGAAAAAAAACGGCAGCAAAAATACAAATATGTAAAGGTAACCAAACAGCATTGCTAAAAGCAAGAAGAATAGTTTTTTTTTCCTTTATGAAGGAAAAAACAATTGTAACCCAGAAAATATTTATAAAGTGAGCTGTGATCCGCAAACGTTTAGGCATTGATAAATTTGTTAATCTTTCATGCGCCAGAAGAATGCAATTTTTCCCAGAAGGCACTAATATAACCAGCATTGTACAAATGATGACAAGGAAGCCAAAGAGGAATTTGAAGAGCAAAATGCCAGTGGATTTTAAAGCTCGTTTCCTTTCACCTTCACATTCCTTTCTCTTCTTGGCAGGATCCAAGAATATTTCCAGCTCAGAGAGAACCAACTTAGAAGCATTGCTAATGAAAAAGAAAAGCAGTGAACCCCCAAGGAACCATAATAAGACTTAGGCTGACATTCTTTACAGCATCTGAATTTCATCTGCTCAGGAGGACTCTTCCTGAATGCCTTGACAAAATCAGCTCCAAACCCTGTTTAAATCCTCCTTCAGGATAAAAAAATTGTCAAACATTTTATTATTAAAAAAAACATTTTATATACTGTTCTTTATAAAGGGTGTATTCAAGCATCTTTCTCTCCCCTCCCCCCATGTGTGTCTGTGTGCATGTAACTTAATAAAAGACTCTAGAAACTCCTCTCTGGTTGGATGATATCATCTCCATTGAGGAAATCAGCTTCCCGCTCTCCTTTGTATAGCTTTGGAGTGACATCATCTCAGAGCCCTTCAATCTTATCCCCTTTCCATTTTCTCCCTGCTGAGTTTGAGCAGAACCTCTTGCTTCCCATAAACTGTCTCTTTCCAATGTTGCCAGGATCCCCTAATCTCCTCCCCTCCTCTTAACCGCCCTTTGAATACGAAATGGGTGACTAGTCTAGCCAGAAAGAAAAAGAGATAACAAATAACTGCATTTTGTAAGGCTGCCCTGGAAAGGAGTTTACTTTCAGATATTGTGTAATAATTCATACAACAGCTCAAGCCAACCAGAGACCCGGAGGCAGTTCCAAGGGATAGCTTCAGGGGACAAATTTAATAATGCAAAGTGATTAGGCAGAGAGGGGAGCTGCAGCAATTTAATTACTGTTTACATCATCTTCACATTCTCTGCAAGGATTGACTATTACCCTTCATAGTTCAACCGGCAAAGATATATTAATGTTTCCTAACATGCATCAAAGGCAGATGTAAACCAATGATAATCATCTTGATCAAACCACAATAATGTTTGTTTGGTCAGGAGAGTGTGTACATATCTTATGGTATTCAAGCTCTGAGGGCTGGTCGCAGCCTTACAAATAACTGACAATTTCCAGGGCTAGAATGCTGATCCAAGATCTAGATGCTGATTTTTAAAACCTGAATAACTTAGGATCAGAGACTCTGGATCCCAAATATGAATAAATGGTAATAGCACTCAATTTATTTTTTTTTAATTGAAAAAGTTTTACAATTACATTTTCTCCCCAGTTCCCCCCCCCAACCCTCCCTGACCTCCCTAACCCTCCCTAGCCCCCCCCAGCCCACCCCTTCCCCCACGGACTTCCACAAAATATAATCCAAATCAAAATCCCCTTTTTATAAAACTTGAACCCCTCCACCCCCTATATATTTTTCACATCTTCACAAAATTCAAATATTCTATCTCTATATAATGCTTTCAGTTAAAAGCTATCTGATATTTCCTAGTTTGATATTTATTCTGCACATAATCTATCCACTTTTTCCACTCCCATACATAAGTCTCTTGTGAGCGATCTTTTAAATATGCTGAAATCTTCGCCATCTCTGCAAAGCTGGCCATCTTCAAAGTCCATTCATCAATAGTAGGCATAGCTTCATTTTTCCAATATTGACCTATCAGTAATCTCGCTGCTGTTATCATATACAATATCAACTTTGTTTCACCCAATGTAAAACCCTTAACTATACCCAATAAAAACAATTGTGGAGAAAACTGAATTTTTTTCTTCAAAACATTCTGCATAACCCACCAAATTTTTATCCAAAAAGCCTTCACTTTCTTACAAGTCCACCACACATGATAATATGTGGCATCTAGGCAATCACATCTCCAGCATTTTGGTTGAACATTAGGGTACATGCACAACAATTTCTTAGGATCTAAATGCCATCTATAAAACATTTTATAAAAATTTTCTCTCAAATTCTGCGACTGTATAAATTTAACATTCTGAACCCATATTTTTTCCCATGTTTCCAACATCACTGGTTCTGCAAAATTTTGTGCCCACTTTATCATGCAATCTTTAACCAATTCAGTTTCTGAATCCCTTTCTAACAAAACATTATAAACCCTTTTAATATGCATTGGACCTTTCTCTTTTATATGTCTAACCAATTCTTCCTCATGCATCATTATACCAGTTTTTTGGTCCTCTTTCCATCTCAATTGAAGTTGATTATACTGTAACCAAGTTAAATTAATCCCTTCTTCCAACAGCGTTTCTAAAGTCTTCAGTTGCCATCTGCCCGCATCTGCAAAAAGAACTTCTTTATATAAAAACCCCCTGAGTGACATTATATTTGTATTCCACATGATATGACCAAGATCCAGCCATAACGGTATTTTGTAATCCCATTTGAGTTGGTGCTTCTTCCAAACTCTCATCAAAGAGTCTCTAAGTAATAGCACTTAATTGATCTAGGTTGATCTTGAAACTGTTTCATCAACTTGGATCACCAAGAATTCCTTAGAATTGTAGACTAGACTGAGGGCTTGAATATAAGCATCCCAGAAAAATGCAATGATGAGTAACTTCCATATGGTTGGAAAAATAAAAACTACATAAAACCCATAGGAATTTAGGAGTCAAGTTCAAGGGAGTCCAGTTCAAGACAGTATTTACTTTTCCAGCTCTATATACTTACCTAACATCTGTTTATTACCAAAAATCGTTTACAATTAAAATTAGGTGAATATTTAAAAGAGATAGAATCTTTTCAATTTTGGCCTCCCCTTGTGACATGCCTACTAGCTTTTCAATACCAGGTTAAAGCATTCCATATCTCCCAGGCATTTGAAGGGCTAAAGTCATCTGTAAAGTCAAATTGGTCTGAGCTTAATTGCCAGCTTATTGTGGGATAATAGTATAAAATCTTTTACAATCTGTAATATCTTTCATTTGATACAACAGTAGTGGGTTTTATTCAAGATGACAATGAGAATGCTTACTGCAAGGAAGTAGAGGGTTTGGTGCAGTAGTGGGTTTCAAATCCTGTCACTACCGGTTTGCTTGTGGACATGTGTGTGCTCATGCGCGCTGCTTCTGTGCATGCACAGTGATGTCCGGGCAGGTGGGTGGAGCCTCCCGCCACCCACCGCTACTGGTTCACCCAGTCCGGAGTGAATCGGTAGCAACCCACCACTGGTTTGGTGAACTGATATAACAAAAGCAACCTTGTTTTAAATGTAGGAAAAACAAAAGATATCATTGTTGATTTCAGAAAAAGTAGGTACAGCTGCACACCTTTGAGTGCGATTCACCTGTGGGTCACCTGGTGGTTCTCCATATGCAGCTAACAAGTAGGTTGGTTTGGTTGCTCAACAGTGAGACACTGATGAAGCAGGCACAGCAGTGCCTGCATTTTCTGCATCACATGAGAAAAGTACATGTTCCTTCCCCTGTCCTTACCACTTTCTATAGAGGGACGGTCGAGAGCATCTTGTCATACTGCATTATGTCTGGTTTGGAAGCATTACTGCTTAAGACAAGAAGGCAGTGCAGAGAGTGGTGAGGATGGCAGAAAGATTATTGGTAGTTCACTTCCAGGACATAGCATATAAGAGATGCTTGAGTAGGGTCTGCAGGATTGTTTGAGACGCTACACATCCTCTTCACAACCTGTTTTCCTTGTTATCTTCTGGGAGGACACTTGTTTGTTTGTGTGTGTGTGTGTGTGTGTGTGTGTGTTGCATGTGTATAGATGTGTTATATGTGTCTATAGGTAAATATATATGTTCTTTTGAGAGCAAGTAACAGAATTTCATTTTTAATGTGGGTCAGAGTTCTTACAGTAAAAAAATGATAATAAAGGTTATTTTATGTCACCTCACCTCATCTTATTTTGCCATTGAGTATAGCATCTAAATCCTTGGATTCCCTGTTTATTTTAATATTTTTAGATAGCTGGGTGATTTCCTGCAGAGAATTTTGTTTATCAGATAGATCACAGCGATAAAAATACATCAAGTTCAAAGAAAAAATATAATAGCTAAAATTGGAATAAATGAACAATAAACAAACCAACTCACCCGTCATACAACTACTTTTTCTGGAAACTAAAATGGAAAAGGGACATAACCCTCAGCTGACAGTGAGAAGCATGGATCTGCCTATCAGAGCAAAGCTTTTACATTGCAAGGAAGTATTAATTACATCCGGGTGCAGAGTTATCAAGTTTCCAACAGTTCCCATTACCAGTACAAAACTCAGATGTGCGCAGATCTTAGCAGATGGCCATATTCATCACCAATACATGCTAAGCTTCTCCTGTTTGTCTATGGATATGAACCTTCTCTACCAAAATTTCAAGTAGAAAGATCCTTCAGGGTCATCCCTTGTGTGTTACAATGTTGGCAGAAAAGTATGGTACTCTTCTTCACAACTGATGTCCTCCACTACAACCCTTCCCCTTCACCAACAACATAGCATCATGCCAATATACTCTTCAAACATTTCTGGGCAGGAGAACATTGCACTATTGTTTACAGTTTGTTCCATAATGTCAACATCAACTGAAATACTTTCCACTTTATAACCAGCTGAAATAACCATATGAGAGAAGGGCATTTCAGGTCAAAGTTATCTTACCATGACTTTTTAAAAAAATTATTGGCAGCTCTAATTAATCTGTAAGAAAGTTTATAATAATGTGATAATCCTATGCTATGCTATGCTACGCTATATTACACTATGCTACCCTATACTGCACTACACTACAATACTTGTCACTATTAACACTAATTTTTAAATATTTTAAAAATGTTACATTGCTATAATAATTGTATTCCTAATTATGAGAGTGCAATAACTCTCATAACTGTCTCACATTTTTTTCCCTAACCAAAATTGTTATGGCCAAGCCATAACTGACTTCAAATTGTTAGACAAAATGATCACTGGAAATATAAAACAAAAATTTAAAACTGAAACAAAAAGAAAGCAACTCACATAAAAATAAAATCACATTACAAACCTAACTCAGAGGATGGTTTCCTGCTGATTTGGGGTAGAAATCATTTCTGCCAAATTCCTAAAATATCAATATGACTTACCATTTATTTTCCATAGCATCTGAAATCCAGTAGACTCATCTATTTGGTCAGAAAAAAACACCACATGAAGACTGGAATTCGTGGTACCTCCAGATGGGAGAACACTATCTCCACAAAATGCGCCAATCAAAGTGGATTGAACATTAGGGCCATCATAAAGCTGAAAGGAGGCAGAAAAGATGTATATGTGAGATGCTGGTTATATTTTAAAAAATACATGGTTATAGTAAAAAGTATCACGGTTAAGTATACGCTCTCTCTAAGTGGAATCTACTTGATGACTCCATTTTTTTCATTGTATCTCCATTACTGGCTTCCTAGCCTTTCAATGATCATAAAGCAAATTTTTGCAGCAAGAAAACATTTGTAGTAATGGAGGGCCCCTGCTAGGGGAATTGATATTCTCATTTCAGGGAAGATGGCACTGGCACCGACACTAATGCCATCAGAGTGAATGCCATCACTCTGCTAAACAACTAATTCCTACAACACTGTCAAATTATTTACTAAGACTGTATTACTATTATTCTTCTCATCCTTCCTAGTACCTATCTCTTCCCATTTATGACTATAACCATGTTGCTTGTATCGTTACGATTTATATTGTTTTATTTGTTTCCTATTACGATTTGATTGCTTATTAGTAACCTATGACTATCACCAAGTGTTGTATCTTATGATTCTTGATGAATGTATTTTATCTTTCTTTATGTACACTGAGAGCATATGCACCAAAGACAAATTCCTTGTGTGTTCAATCACATTTGGCCAATAAAGAATTCTATTCTATTCTATTCTATTCTATTCTATTCTATTCTATTCTATTCTATTCTATTCTATTCTATTCTATTCTATTCTATTCTATTCTATTCTATTCTAACCCACCTCTGATTCTAATCACTGTGCCACCAAGGCTCATATGCCAGCATTAGATCTGTTGATATGAGGGGCAGAGTGCATTTCTCCCTCCATTTGAGTAAATGGCATAACACCCAAAGAGGACACCAGTAATATTTGCAATTATTGCAGCTGTGGAGTCCAAGATAAATTCTTGGCTCACGCAATTGGAATAAAAAGCAGATCATAGAGAACTCTCCAAGTACTTGGAAATGTGGGTTGTATCCTTGAATCAAATGTTCCTGTTCTGCTCTAACTTTTCACTCGAGATTTATTTAGTTTTTGAATAGGATCGTAGTGTGCGTGATGAAAAGAAATAGAAAGAGATGGGTCAAAAGAATCTGGAACCCACAATAATTTGCCTCAGAAAACACTCTTTCCCTTCAAGTTCCTTCCCTCCATTTAATTAGTTGAGAGAAAGGTCTCCCTCCAATTCCACAGTTTGATAAATCACTTCTTTTGGCAGTCCTTCTGCACAGACTATTTTTTGCAAATAGACAATAATTTTGTGTTGCACTGCTGCAGTTTTGTCCCCAAGGGAAGACATTATTAAATTCAACTGAAAATAAGACAGCTGTAAATATTAAAAAGTTCAACGATAGCTAAAGTGGAATGCATTTGCTGGAATTTTGCAGTGCTTAGAAAAGGACAGCTGTGTTATCTTGGATATCTGTATGGCTATTCAATCCTCAGAAAAGTATTTTCAACAGATCACTCCAGGATGATGATATTCACCCTTTCTCGTTTTATATGTTGCTTGAGAACATTGACGGAAAGTAATGATTGCAGAAGGGAAAGACAAGACAATTCTCTAATATTTATAATTTAGACATTAAACTTGGTCTCCAAAAGAAAAAGTATCAGAATTGTTTCTCCTTATTGAAAAAGTACCTGTGCAAATCCAGCCCTTTTATTTTATGGATATCATTAATATAGAGTTAGAAATTATTTATTTTCCAGCCACCAGATGCCCTGGGGAGATTTCCGTGTTCCGAATAATATTATTCCATCCATCTTAATTGAAACTAAGAGAAACAATATTTAGCACTCAACAAATCCAGCACATTGGCTATCTAATTCTGACTACCTTTCAAATGAAATCATCCTTCCTTAATGTTGATCTCAAATGGAGCCCAAAAGTAGTGTGATGGAATGGAAAACAAAGCTGAAAACAGATAGTCCTTGACTTAGAACCATTCATTTAGTGACCTCTCTAAGTTACAATGGAACTGGAAAAGTGACTTGTGGCGGTTTTTCACCCTTAGAACTGTTGCTGCAGCCTCGTGGTAACTTCCCATAGTTAACATACACCTATAGGGCTGAATCTGGAAGTTTTTTTACATGACCAATTAGTATATACTGTACACAGTTTTAACAAATGTTAGATTTTGTTCTTTCTTTCATTATTATACAACCTAAAACATTTTCCCCGAATCTCACAATGCTGGCTAGAACTGATGGGAGTTCTAGTCTAACACATAATGAGGCATAATGCATTTGGACAATCTGTTAATCTAAGAAAAATGTGGTAAGAAGCAAAACCAGTCACCCACATGACTGGACTACATGAATTATTTGTAAAAAAAATTTCTGGTTTAAAGGAAAAAAAGTCACTGCCAAAAAATGCAACTTTACTCCAGAAACCTTAGGAGTTATCTGTGGTATTTCCTGCAGTAAGGCTTTGACAGAGTATAGAGTTCTGCCAGTGAAGTTCTCTAAATCAAAAGGAAAAATAAAACACATAGGTTGGATTTATACTGTGTCAAATGTTAACTCCCAGTCCCAGAAAAAAGTTTAGAAACTAATAATAAAGAATGCCAACTTTCATGAATGACACTTTTGAAATGGAAAAAAAAAATAAAAAATTAATTAAATCAATAAATACAAACCAGTTGGAAACAGCTGCTGAAGCAAAGAAGGGTTCTGTCTGCTAGCTCTAAGCAAAAGGTGAAAAGAAAAATCTTGTTTATTTTGCAGCAAGAGTCTGTTGGTTTGAAAGCACTAAGTATGCATTATTCCCACTTTGGTAGGAAGGTAACAGCATTCTGTATGGTTCAGCATATAGTCATGTTATCCATGTAATCATGTAAATGTCTTTGGACAACATTGGCTCCCTAGAATTACTGGGCAGGGAAAATCTTTATCTTTATGCATTATGTATGTCGTATAGAGCAATTCTAATGTACAACATATAAACATATAAAGGCAATTTCCAGTTGTTACTTATGGACTTTGCTCCCTGATTATATGTATTAACTATAGACATATGCAGCCCCACACTTACTCTCACTGATGATGTTATCTATTGGGTAATGTTTTTAATAAATCAACCAACTTCAAAGAACACCAAATTTCCATTATGCTTGTTATTAAAAGCCTAAGAGCCCTAACCCAAAAAATGGTGGCAACTCTTCCAATAAAAAAGCCTTTTCAAATACTCTATTGTTTTGGATGTAGATTTGGATTTTATTTATTTATTTATTTATTTATTTATTTATTTATTTATTTATTTTCTATCTCTCCATGGGGCAAAATAATAGAACAATAAAAAAAATAAAGAACACAATGGGAATACATTAACATAACAAAAAAGATGAATGGATATGGATGGATAGTCAAAGAATAAGTACACACACACACACACACACACACACACACACACACACACACATATTTTCTGAGGTTTTCGTGGGTGCTTGTATGTAGGTCTTTGATTATTCGCGTTTTCTCCCCGTAAAATTGGAAGTGTCTTGGTGACGTTTCGACGAAGTCTCATTTGTCATCTTCAGGCTGGTGTTTTTGGCTTCGTGCTTCTAGGAGCTGCGATCACACATTGCTCCTAGAAGCACGAAGCCGAAAACACCAGCCTGAAGATGATGAATAAGACTTCGTCAAAACGTCACCAAGACACTTCCAATTTAACGCGGGAGAAAACCTGAATAACCAAAGACCTACATATCTATCTATCAATCTATCTATCTATCTATCTATCTATCTATCTATCTATCCACACACATACATATTCATCCTTTGATTATCCATTCATAGTCATCCATCCACCTATTCATATAGATACATAATCATTCAAAAGCATGCCAGTTATCTATTAGATGTTCCTTTACTTCTCCTTACCTCTCCTTGCATTGGGGTTACTTAGAAAAGCATATGAAAGCTTTCTCCCCAATTCCTAATCACTAAACATGGTTAACCTTGTTGTTTCTCCTTTGATAAGAGTTCACTTCATGAGTCAAATGTGTACATCAAAAAAACGGAGTTGTGGCAAGCTGGGAATAAACAACTTGGAGCATTCTAGGTATTGTAGCAATAGTTCCCATGATTTCTGACCATCAGTTGGGATTTATACATCTGAAAGTGGGACCAAATTTCCCCTTTCTAAGATAGAGCAATACAATTTACAGTGGCAGGACTGTAATTGTTTTCTTGCAATAGAGGAAAAAGGCACATGGTAGGGTGTGTGAGCTGAGAAACACGTACAACTAAAAATAAGCCATTAGTCATTCATTTTGGGATTTAGTTGTCTGAGACCCCTCCCCCATCTCTTTGGTGGCACCATGGAAAAACAGTCTGTTAGTCATTTGAGGCTTATTATAATTAGAGGGCATTTCTTCTTGCATCCTGTAGATTACTACTGTGGTTTTACTTCTGCTTCAGATGGCCTGATGCTAAATTTCTTAACTATTTAAGCATCAGAAGCATAAGCTAATGCTGCGTAAGAAGAGGTGGGGTGTTCAATAAAAGCCCCTTATTGGGAAGCCTTGAAAAAGCTGAAGTATGCTTCAATTTGTAGGGAGCCAATGCAGATTTTATCTGTAATTATCCTTTTACTAGTCAATGTTTATTATCAAACCTTTTGTTTTTAAAAAAGCTTTTGAAAATATATTTTAAAATAATATTTGTAGAAGAATAGTGATAAAATTAATTTCAGGCAACTTTGCCTTTTCTGTTCCATCTTATAAAAAGTCACAATTGAGATAGAGATTAACAGCTTTTTTTTTTAACAAGAGAAAATGGTGAGCAGTTAGTACTTTATAAACTATAGGCTACTCCCAGTGCCGTTTTGTAATATTTGAAGACATTTTATCATCAAAATTTGGCAAAAAAATGTTAAACACTGGTGCCATGTTGACTTTTATCAGGATACTTAAGTAAAAAAAAGTAGATACCTTTTTTTTAAAAAAAAACCTAAACCAAATAAAAGGGGAGCTTGCTTCATATTATATAAATGAACTGGAAAGTGTTCATTTTTGGCTTATGAAAAAACTGCAAAAATATGTACAACAGGGATGTCAAATTCAAGGCCCGCAGACCAGATCCAGTCCACAGGGTGCTTAGATATGGCCCATGGAGCTACTCTGGAAACAGCGAAGGACCGGCTGGGAATAAACAACTTGGAGCATTCTAGGTATGCTCCAAGTTGTGCTTGGTGCCTCTGCCAGCAAGCACAGAGCTCAGGAAGGCAATGCGGTGCCAGCCCAGATTCTGTTTTTGCCTGTAATGGCCTCCTGCAGCCTTTTGCCAGCAAAAATGGAGCCTGGGGGAGGGGGGGCAGCGCCATACATGGGCTGCAGATGGCCATCATGGCCAAAAATGGAGCCCAGGTGGGCTGCATGGTCCTCCCAGGTCTGTTTTTGCTGGCAGAGGGCTGCAGGAGGCCAATGTGCCCAAAAACAGAGCTCCACGCTTCCCCCCCAGGCTCCATTTTTGCTGGCAGAGGGCTGCAGGAGGCTGTCACAGCCAAAATTGGAGCCTTGATGAGTGACATTGAGCTGGCCACGCCCCTGGCCATGTGCCTCCTGGCCACACACCCTCAGTCCCCCAAGGTCAAACACAACCCTGATACATCCCTCAATGAAATCAAGTTTGACATCCCTGATATACAATAAACTTAGAGAGCTATAACAGCTCTCTAAGTATTTTCGGGTATTATGAAAAAACAGTAAATTTTAATATTAAATGGTAAACTAGTCTGATTGTTCCTAATCTTTAAGGGACTTAACTAGAAATAAATTATTAATGGAGAATGAAAGATATACAAGCAGATGTGGGCTTTGGAAATTTAAGGTCAAAGGAAGATTTATTGCAGAATATTTCTGGTCTAGGTTAACATTTAATAAGAATGTTTCAACAATTATCCACAATCAACTTAGGCCTTAAAACAGAGGAGCAAAGAAATACCTCTGTGCTTGCCACTGAGTGTGATTGAATGTCACACTCTCTTCCTGATGTTTCAAAATCCTATAAACTGAGAAACTAGAAATTACGGAATAATTATCATCTGATTAGAACAGATAATGAAAGAGCAATTGACTCTTCCGGCTTGGAACAAACAGAAAACAGTGCTACAGACATTCCCTGTATCAGGAATGATATATTTAATACTATATTTCAAAATATAGGATAATATTTGCATTTCATACCTTTAAATGGTTATGTTCACATCTGTCACCTCCTTTCGTGCTAAGTGCTTGGAAACTGTAGTTCAGGGTGTTATCAGTTGTAGTCTAGATCAGAGGTCACCAACCTTTCAGACCTCAGGGACCACTAAGATCATAATTTAAAATCCTGCGGACCACTAATATGATCTGCCTAATGACCGGCTGGGTGGGTGTGGATAGGTGGTCATGTGACTGGGTGGGCGTGGCCAACTCCTTAGAGCCCCAACAGGAAGCGGTTATTGGAGCTAAGCAGCCACCACAAGAAAGAGTTGGCAAAACAGCTCAGTTCAAATTGGATCTAGCCGAGAAGGAGGCTCAGCAGAAGCACCTCACTGAGGACTACGAGTATAGGCTTTCCAAGTAGAGGGAAGACCTACAGGAGTACAAGGCCAGGTACCGGCGCCTGGAGGTTCAGCGGGCTGAGATGGTCAGCCAGTTCCAGGCCATGATGCAGTCCCACTGGAATGAGGTTCTCTTTGCCACCAGTGGCACTTTCCTCCAGCCTTTGCCCAAAGCCCCACACCAGGAGGCCAAATCAGACCACAGGTCGGAATTTCTGCCCCCCTCTGACTCACACAGAAGATCCCGAAAGGGGAGACTCTCTGCAGCAATACAAATGTTCATTGCACGTATCTGTCCCATGCCGTAGTTTGAGGACCCCTGATTTAGTGCAATATAAAAAATGCAAATAATTTTTTTCTGGACCACCAAATTTTTTTCGTGGACCAGCAGTGGTCCGCGGACCACCAGTTGGTGACCGCTGGTCTAAATGGTCCAGTTGCAATATACACCTGGAGGATAGTTGTTAGGATAGTCCAAACTCTCCAAAATGCCTTGGGAATAGTTGGCAATTACTATTCCCTGGCAAATTTGGAAGAAAAAAAAATTAAAAATATGTTTTCTTTATTCTATATTTCTGCTTTACGAATATAAAGAATCTATTGGAACCAGTAAGTTCAATCAGTAGTTAGGTGTTTATATGATGATCCTACAAAAAGGGATACATATTTTAATTTTAAAATAAAATACAGATTTCTAAAACCCGAAATAAACCTCGAGAAGGCAAATAATCTTTAATGTAAGAATGACTTTCAAAAAAGGATCCAGAACATTTTCTGATAAGAATCCCACCCATTGATCTTCAACAAGTTCTTTCTCATCTTCCATGCTCTCAATAAATGTCATTTTGGAAAGACATGGTTGTGAATGTAATATCTAAACTACTTGAAATGATATTGTGGCTTTAGGCTGTTTGCAAATGAAAAGGTTTTCTGATAAATTGCAAGGAATTTTGTGATTGGAATAAATATCCTGAAATAACAGGTGGTTGAAAATAAAAAACCAACCATAAATAAAGTAGTAACTAGGATAATTCTGGATAATTTAGAGGTTTTTTTTTTCAGGTACAGCATAATTAGTAAATCATTGGATCTCCTGTTTTAATCATTTTAACATGATAAGAGGAAGAGTCTGAAGTAGCAGTTAAAGGCAATGTTAAATTCTAGCCCTCCTTAGGCACATAAACTATTTGAGGGCCTTTGGGCCACTGATTTTCTAAATCTGGGAAAAAAGCAATTGCAAACTACTTCTGCAAAATTGTCAGGAATCAAAGCTAATTTGGTCTTCCGGGTGCGCTTCAAGGTGTTGGTTATCACCTTTAAAGCGCTCCATGGCATAGGACCTAGTTATCTTCGAGACTGCCTGCTGCTACCGACGGCCTCCCATCGACCTGTGCGCTCCCACAGGGAGGGCCTCCTCGGGGTGCCATCAGCCAAACAATGTAGGCTGGTGAACCCCAGGGGGAAGGCCTTCTCTGTGGGGGCACCTATCCTCTGGAATCAGCTGCTCCCAGAGATAAGGAGAACCCAAGACTTCGGTGCCTTCCGCCGTGCCCTTAAAACCTTCTTTTTCCAGCAAGCCCGGCTGGCCTAAAAGTTTTTAAAATTGTTAAAATTGTTGTTATTGTTTTTAATCATGGGGCCAAATTTATATATATATTTTTAATTGTATTTTAATGTTTGTAGTTTATGTTTTTACTTGGCTGTTCACCGCCCTGAGTCCTCAGGGAGAAGGGCGGTATACAAATTTAATAATAAATAAATAAATAAATAAATAAATAAATAAATAAATAAATAATTTGAACACACATATACATGCATACACACGTACACATACACACACAAACACACATTTTTACAATAATACCGTGTTTCCCCCAAAATAAGACATGTCCGGATAATAAGCCCAATTGGGCTTTTCAACGCATGCGATAATATAAGCCACCCTCGCAAAATAACTCCCCCACCAACTACTTACATGCATGCGCAGCTGGTCCTGCCATTTCTCCTGGTTGCTTGCTGTGCAACCAAAATGAGTTGAGGAGGCGAGGCTGGGGGGAAGGAGGGGACATGCCCTCTCCTCCCTGTTCTTCACACCGGCCAAGTGTCCCAACATGTCCCACCCCACCCCAATGGCAACAGCAGCTTGGCTTCTTCCCTTCCCCACTGTCTCTTTATCGAGAGGGGTGGCAGGTAGGGCAGGGGAGAAGCAAGACGTGTGGAACGAGATGTGGTTCCCCTTGCCGCCCCCCCCTTGCCGGGGGGGGCTCCTGCCCCTTGCTTAGCCATCCACCCCCTTTAGGGATGCAATTTGGGGGTGGTAGGTAGGGTGGGTGAGAAGTGGGACGCAAGTCTTACCTTTCAAGCTCCGTCGCTTTTCTCGCCATTGTGTCCAGGGAAACCCGCTGTAAAAGAAAATCTTCTCGCAATAGATAGTAATATGCTTTCTGATAGTACCAATAGTAATAGATGCCTTTGCTACAATCCCAAACATTTGGAGTACCACTTGGACACTATGAGCATTGACAAAATCATCATCAATCAATTGCATAAAGCAGCTTTACCTGTAACAATTTACATTCTGTGACAATACATTTAACATAACTAACAATGGTTACTGCCAGAATAGTTTTGTGAAGGAATGGATGGTTCCTTAATCTATCACTAATTTACCCTTCAATTTCAAATGTTGAGGTTACAATTCTTAAAATTTGCAGCCAGCAAAATTCAGTAGGCATAACTGTACTGCTGGTGTGTTTCCACAGCAGTAGGCGCCAAATGTCACATGTTGAGATAAAATTAATGGAATGAAATGGTTTCAGTTCTGAATCATCCAAGGGTCTTTGGCTCCTTGGAAAGATTTCAGGATCAGACCTTCTATATATCCCTTGTTCCCAAAAGATCTGTGCAGAAGAAGGAAAGGAATTTTGACTTTTCCGCCTCTCAATCTGTTTGGTGCAATTTAGAATATGGTTAAATTTAGAATATGATGGAGAATCTGACATTTTGCATTTCACTCTTTGCATTTCACTTTGCAACTGGGATTGTACTTTTTGCCTTGGACCATACTTTCAATGCCAAATTTAATCCTGGAAAATCTAGAGTAAATATGTTCTTTTGGGGCAGCTTGACTTTTTCTTTCCCTTGCAGTTGAGTAATTGCTAGCATAATTTTATTTGGGAACAGTGATTTCACACAGAACCACTGAACTATATCTTTCAAAGATCCTGGAGCACAGGGGAACTGCCAGAGGACTGGAAAAGAGCTGATGTAGTTCCCATCTTTAAAAAGGGGAAACAAAATAGATCCAGGAAACTACAGACCTATCAGCCCGTCCTCAATACCAGGGAAGATTCTGGAAAAGATAATCAAGCAACGAATCAGTGAACACCTAGAAGCAAACAAAATAATAACCAAAAGCCAACATAGGTTTGCCTACCTTCTGGAGTGTTGGCCATTCCTGGTAGCTTGGTGTCATCTGCAAATTTAATGAGTTCTCCATCTATCCCTTTGTCCAAATCATTGATGAAGATGTTGAAGAGTACTGGGCCTCAAACAGAGCCTTGGGATAACCCACTACATACTTCCCTCCATGTAGATGCAGTTCCATTGAGGACTATATGTTGAATGCGGTTGATCAGCCAGTTACGAATCCATCTGGTGGTGATGCTGTCTAACCCACATTTTTCTATTTTATTTAGTAGTAGGTTATGGTCTACTTTACAAACGTCTTACTGAAGTCCAAGCAAATTATATTGACAGCATTCCTCTGGTCCACTAATTTTGTCACTTTGTCAAAGAATGCAATAAGATTAGTCTGGCATGATTTGTTTTTGACAAACCCATGTTGACTTTCGGTTATTATTTTGTTTGCTTCTAGGTGTTCGCTGATTCGTTGCTTGATTATCTTTTCCATCAACTACAACCACATCAGCTCTTTTCCAGTCGTCATACCCAATTCCTGCAACCGTTCTTTATATGTTTTAACCTCCAGTCCCCTAATCATATTTGTTGTTCTTCTCTGCACTCTTTCTAGAGTCTCCACATCTTTTTTACATCGTGGCAACCAAAACTGAATGCAGTTTTCCAAGTGTTGACTTGGAATTACTTTACCAAGTGTTCCAACTTATAAAAAGAAGATTCGTTTTGCGGTAATACAATGTTTTAGATATTACTTTGAAAAGGTGGTTGTTTATACACCCAAAAAGGAATTAGCACCTTATTGTCATTCTTTAAAGCAGCTACAGCTGTTCTCAGAATTGTTTTCAGCTGGGAGGAACAATCACAATGTTATGGAAAAAGACCAGTTATTTTAAATATTTTGCAGGAAAGAAATGCTATATTCACTAATCAATATGTAGAGCTTTGTATGAAGATACCTTGAAAAAGTTATAAATGTTTTATTTGGAAACATCCTATTCTCTTATAATACAATCCTTTCATAATAACATATGAATATAGTTATGGAAGCATAGAATTTAGCTGCCATTCTACTTTCCCAAAAGGAATCAGCTGACTTCTGATCAAAATATTAGAGACTTGCACAGAACTCAAGAAGAAATTTAGAAATCTAAGGAGCAATGGAAAGTGGGCTGGGACATGCATTTTGCTCGGTATTGCACAATGGCTACAAGAGATTAAATACAAATGACTAAAAAGATTAAATATGAACATCCTGCTTGGCTAGCTTTCTTGCTTGGAGTTCCATCCAAAACCATTACAGTAATTCGTCTGTTTCCCATGCTTCTCACTGAAGCAAGGAAAATCTTTTGGAAATGCAGCATTCAGCTATTGGATTGAATGCTCCTAATGTGAATTAAAAACAAAGTTTTATTTTTCACTTTTTGTTGGTGGGCGAAGCCCCTTAGAAGTTTCGCTATGTTAACAAAAACATAGAAAAACTTCTATTGTGTTAATTTTGTGTCTATTGTGTTAATTGTGTCAACATATGAATTAAATATTGAAAGAAAAGAATGATTATATGGAATAATATATGCACAAAGTTTATTCAATAGACAAAAATGGAAAGATCTAGCTGGCTTTCAGTCCAAATAATCAGATTAGCTCTACAGTAGAAAGGACAATGAGCTATTGGATAATAAACTGTAAAAACAGACAACAGAAGATTAAAACATTATTTGGTTGCCTTTTGCTGATCTATGCTTGCACAACAAAGCTAGGAAAAATGTGGCAGACATATTTCTTTCCATCTGTTTTCCAAAAGTGAAACATTCATTATTCTAAATGCCAAATAAAGATTCTTGCATCATTGATGATTTTTTAAATCTGATGTCCCATAGTCAAGGGATGCGGATATCTCCCTGAAGAATTAGCAATTTGTACTATTTGTAAGTTCTTCCAAATTTTCTTGCATCCTAAGCAGAACATATTCTTTTTCTGAAGGCAATGGAAGTATTGACACTTGGAATCTTGCCATTGTTAACACAAGGCAACATAATTTATTAACCTAATCTGACCAATTCAGGGAAGAGAAGTACAAACAACAGGGAAGATTTTGTACATTCATTCAAGAAACCTTAAATAAAATCTTTTACCCTGAATTTATGTTCCTTCATTGGACAAGACAGATCTGCTTTCAGCTATTTATGATCTAGGTACCATCTAAGCGGATATTATTCTCAGATTGGGGGTTGCTGCTCTAAAGTACAAAATGTCCTTTTCACCCTCTATTTTAAGATTAATCATTAAAATCTCTGAAATATAAACGTATATCCCAAATTGTCCAAAAGATGAAATAAGAAGGAATGAAAAAGATGGCTCTATGATAAGTAGATTCCTAATTAATTGCAAAAGACATGTTAGATATACCATCTTTGAAAGATTTACTCCAAATGATTAATTTTTCAATCTTGGCAAATAGAATTGTGCTTTCTATTTAAAAAGATCCAAAAAATACAATAATTTATAACTTAGCTGATACTAAACTCATTGTTTGATTTGACTGAACTAATGCCAGCAAAGGTTACCATAAGGCACACCAGAAAATGAACAAAAATAAGAATGTATAATTTCATAACTATTAAAGCTAAGTTTATCAAACTTAGTTACAATTGCTGTAGTATGTGTGTGCAGGATTCGGGTGACCTGGTAAACCATAGATTGAGCATGAGATAGCAATTGTGCTATAACTGCAAAAAGTGTCAGTCCAGCATTAACCAAGATACAATGTTGAGATCACAAAATTGATTGATAATTCTGTACTATCCTGTGGCAATCAGACTGCACCTGGAATACTGAGTCCAGTACAAGAAGGATGCTGAGGATTTAGAAAAGATAAGAAAATTCATCTCTAGTCAGAAGCAGCTGCAGAGACAAAGCAAAAAAGGAAAAAGAAGATGGCATTTTCCCAACTAGGATACTGACCGTAAAAGCAGGATATTATAACATACAAATGAGTAGGGAGACAAACAATAAAAAAGGATGAATAGATGAGAATGACTGCTAAACCATTCCAACAAAAAGAACTGTTTCTTAATCATGTGAGTAAGGAACTACTGGCCTTATAGAAATATATTCATCAGCCCAGCCAGTGAAAAGAGAGGGATGTTGTACTTCAGCAATATTTAGAAAGCCAAGAGTTCTCTACTTTTGATTTACTATATTGTAGGCAGCATTCTTCTGTTGGAAGGGCCATAGCATGGACCACACACCAATGAAGCCAAGTTACATAGGCCTTAAAGTACACAGATTCAGACTATATATTATTATAAAGTAATGATGGCAGCTTTTTCCAAGTTGAAGTGCTAAAGAAATATTTATTTTAAAAGAAGTTGACATCTGATTTTGTTTGGTATAGCAACTTTGGTAAAAATGGATTTCTAGATGAGTTTTTGTTCTGTTCCTGTTTTGTTTTAGTTACTCATCTGCTTTGGTATGCTTTCATTTCCTAACTCATTCATAACTGCCAGATTCTCAATAAATATTATTTCAGAGCTATCAGTTCAGAGAAACCTGTTATTTCCTGAAAGATCCATTGAATTTTGAGTATGCTCAGAGAAAGGAAAAGGAGAATACACCTCTGAAAGTTATATAAGCAACTATTCATTCTATGGCATTTAGCCATAGCTGCTTTGCCCAGAGTGCTATGCACTACCAATAACTTTTGTCTGCTATAGTTGCAAATCATTTAACTAATTGGGTGCCATCAAGTTTAGTTTAGCTCCTGGTAACTGCACAAATATTCTACATTAGCTACAGATCAATGCAATTCTCAAAAAAAAAAAAAAATCTAAATGGTTGAATTGCTCTCCAGGACTACCTCCCTTCTCAAAAAGAAAAGAAATATAAAAAAGCTGGAGAGAATGGGATAAAATTATCTGTTTTGTCTTTCAAAACCTTGCAATCATACAGAAACATTCTATAAAATCAGGGAAAGGTTGCATATATAGCTTCCTGAATTTTTCCCTTATCTCTTTAAAATCCTTGTCTTCTGAGTCATGTGACCAGAATGGAAAAGGGAAGAGGGTAAGCATGGAGGAATTGACAACTTTCCAAGCATTGCCCAACTCTTCTCACAAGGATGAATTGATGGGGGATTATTTTCTTCTCAATTATTTTTTCTTCATAGCTCCCAGATGAATACAGCCCATTTCCAAAATTCCCATCATATTAATCAGAATGTAACAATGGAACTATAAAAGCATTTCAAAGATCTAGGTTAACTACAGTAATTTTATCTTTCCTAATCCAATTATACAGCCTTATCTCTGTCTAAACTCAGTGGGAGTTACTGCTAGCATTACATAAGAAATGTAATTAATGCATATTAATTTATAGTCTTATAAAGTTGACTCATGTGGTTGATGAATTAAAAGACTTGATGCCATGGTCAAAGGTGAAGAATGTGAAATCTGCAGAGCCTCACATTCTCTCACCCAGTATTAAATACAGGTACATTTAATTTATATGCTGTATTACATTTTGCCTAATAATTGAGGAACAAATTCAGTGGAAAGGGAGAGTTGGTGAGCGACTAGAATTTACTATATCAAAAGGCTTGTATTCAGCCATGAAGCCAAATTTTGTAGTAGATGAAGCTCTGAATTTTATATAAAGAGAGTTATTTCTTGAATGAACCACAGGTGGGATAGTATTTTCCCACAGTATTTTTCCAAAGAAGGAGAGGTTGCATTACCGCCATTTCTAATCTGCAAAAGAAAAAAATTCAATCCCATGAAAATACCACAGAACTAAACACATATATTACAGGGAGTCATTCCTGTCAAGACTTTGGATAGAGAAAGAAAATTGTCTCCTATTCAGTTTTAGATTACTTTTGTCCAATTTCTCTATCACTTTTTAAAGACATTTTTAAGACTTTGAAAATTGTGTGTAAGTAAATAACAGCCCCGGATAGCTTCAGCCACAAACAACAGCTGCTGTTATTTTTGCTGAGAGCTTCTAAGCTACACAGCATTATTTAATAAATACTAACAATAATGAACCATAATATAAAGGATTAAAGGAAGAAAGGCGAAATCAGAGGAGGGAGGGAGGGAGGGTGGGAGGGAGGGAGGGAGGAAGGAAGGAAGGAAGGAAAGAAGGAAGGAACGAAGGAAGGAAGGAAGGAAGGAAGGAAGGAAGGAAGGAAGGAAAGGTGAAATCAGAGGAGAAGCTAGGAAGGAAGGAAGGAAGGAAGGAAGGAAGGAAGGAAGGAAGGAAGGAAAGAAGGAAGGAAGGAAGGAAGGATGTGATGGTCCTCCAGAGGCTACTGCACTACACTCCCATCATTCCTGAGTTGTGCTGTTAAAGAAATACAGTGCCACTGAGGAGAAGTTAAGTTGTGAAAGAGTGATCGAAATTCCTCACATAACCTCATTATTCAGGTTAAATTGCCATGTTGACACTTTGTGATAAATAAACTAGACATGAAAAGAAGGACTAGGGGAGACATGATAGCAGTGTTCCAAAATCTCAGGGATTGCCACAAAGAAGAGGGAGTCAAAAGTATTCTTCAAAGCACCTGAAGGCAGAACAAGAAGCAATGGGTGGAAACTAATCAAGAAGAGAAGCAACTTAGAACTAAGGAGAAATTTCCTGACAGTTAGAACAATCAATCAGTGGAACAACTTGCCTCCAGAAGTTGTGAATGAATCTTACCTTACTTTCTTTAGCACACCATTTTTAACTGAGAGATAAGCTTAAGATCTCTACAAGAATCTGACCAATTAATGGTCAAAGGAAATTAGCAAGAGATAAGATGTCTCGCAGGGCATAGGGACTCGTGACTTAGGACACATTTGACCCCTCCCTAAGGCTCAGCCTCGCATCTCCCACATCTTCTCTTCCCCTTAATCCTGATTTCTATTCTGAAGTATTCTGTTTCTTTCAATTCTGCTTCATCAGAATTAAAGATTCATCAGAAGAATAATCTTATATTCTGGCACACTTAGAACATTATTAGTTTTAACATATTCCACATTCTGGCATCACACTGGCAAAGGCCTTGCTGAATCAATAAAGCAAAGGTTTATTGTGTTATTGCTCCTTATCTCTGCTTGCTTTCTCTATTATCCATCTGAGGTTATCTGTCTTATCCCATGTTCCTCTGCCTTATCTGAAACCTGTCTGTTCCTTTGTCTCTATGTAGAGCTGCAAAGTACAGCTGTATTCTACTTTGTAAAAACAACATAGATGTTTTATTCTACATATTATTATTGTGAGAAGTGCAAATTCCCAAAACTCTTGCTTTATTATTATTAAGTATTTAAGTAATTCTACCTCATCAACTAGGACACCATTGCCTAAAGTTAATTGTTATCAAAAACAATTCTTGTAATTGCTTATTAGACTGTCTACTGAATAAAGTTTACAATAATGTATAAACCTGCATTGTCTTTCAGTCCTAAGTAAGTATTCTCAAAGTATGAATCCCTCCAATTTCAGCTCAAGCAAATACATTAGAATTATGGGATCAATCTAACCTTGATTACCACCCCCTTATTTTGGTCTGTGACCGCAAATAAAAGTTATTATTATTATTACCCCCCCCCAACATATTTCAATTTTCCAAGCCAAGCATTACGTTTGGTCTTTGAATCAAGGATCAAAGTGACAAAACACAAAATTGATTACTTTAAATTTCATTAAAACAGAGTTTATGTTTTCCCTTTCTGTCATGATAAATATTATATTTCATTAGTAACTTTTAGAGATTTTGGATTCTTATGGTACATAAATTAAATATGAGTAATTTTTTGAAAGGACATAGCCGGTGGTATCTATGGCCTTTGCAATTTTTGGTTTTCAGAATAATTTCCTTTAAAAAAAAAAATCACCTCCACATAAACTGAATTGCAAGTATAATTGACATTATAGATACAAAAATTAATGAAATTAAGAATCACAATATTGTCTTCAGATTCAGATATGATCCATTCACAGATATGGCCCTTTGGCAATGGTCTGGTAAAGTAGGGAGATCTGATGACCCTTCACCAAACAAAGATTCCCCCACAAGCTGCCAAGAATAGAATAGAATTCTTTATTGGCCGAGTGTAATTGGACACACAAGGAATTTGTTTTTGGTGCATATGCTCTCAGTGTACATATAAGGAAAACAAGGAAAAAAAACATTCACCAAGAATTATAAGATGCAACACTTAGTGATAGTCATAGGTTACTAATAAGCAATCACATCATACTAGGAAACAAACAGAACAATATAAATCACAAAATACAAGCAACATGGAACAGTGATGTCTATTGCTGGTCTATGGCCATAATAAAGTTATATTCTATTCTTCTAAATACAAGCAACATGATTATATTCATAAGTGGGAAGAGATAGGTAATAGGAAGGATGAGAATAATAATAGTAATACAGTCTTGGTAAATAATCTGACAGTGTTGTGGGAATTAGTTGTTTAGCAGAGTGGTGGCATTCGGGAAAAAAAATGTTCTTGTGTCTAGTTGTTCTGGTGTGCAGTGCCCTATAGTGTCGTTTTGAAAGTAAAAGTTGAAACAATTTATATCCAGGATGTGAGGGGTTTGTAGATATTTTCACAGCCCTTTTTGACTCGTGCAGTATACAGATCCTCAACGGAAGGCAGGTTGGTAGGAATTGTTTTTTCTGCAGTTCTAATTATCCGTTGAAGTCTGTGCCTGTCTTGTTTGATTGTAGAGCCAAACCAGACAGTTATAGAGGTGCAGATGACAGACTCAATAATTCCTCTGTAAAACTAAATCAGCAGGTCTTTGGGCAGTTTGAGCTTTCTGAGTTGGCGCAGAAAGAACATTCTTTGTTGTGCTTTTTTTTTTGATTTATATGCCGCCCTTCTCCGGAGACTCAGGGCGGCTTACAGTGCGTCGTTAAGCAATAGCCTTCATACTTTTGTATATTTATACAAAGTCAGCTTATTGCCCCCACAAACTGGGTCCTCATTTAACCTACCTTAGAAAGGATGGAAGGCTGAGTCAACCTTGAGCCTTGGAGAGATTCGAACCAGCAGTAAATTGCAGGCAGCTGTGTTAATAACAGGGTGCTTTAAACCACTGTAGTACCAAGGGTCTTTTTTTTTTTTTGATGATGATATTTTTGATGTTAGGTGTCCATTTTAAGTCTTGAGATATGATAGAAGCTAGAAACTTGAAGGTCTCTACTGTTAATACTGTGTTGTCTAGTATTGTAAGAGGTGGTAGTATAGGACGGATTCTCCTAAAATCTACCACCATTTCTATGGTTTTGAGTGTGTTTAGTTCAAGATTGTTTCAGTTGCACCACAAGGTTAGTTGTTGAACCTCTTGTCTGTATGCAGATTCATCATTGTCTCGAATGAGACCAATCACTGTTGTACCATTTGCAAACTTCAGTACTTTAACAGAGGAATCTTTTGAGATACAGTCATTGGTGTATAGAGAGAAAAGAAGTGGAGCACACAGCCCTGGGGGCTGCGGGCTCCTAATGTGATTTTGCCTGTTGTTTGCTGTCTGTTAGGAGGCTTATGATCCATTTACAAGTGTGGTCAGGTACAGCTAGCTGGTTTAGCTTAGTTAGAATATCTGGAATGATGGTACTGAACGCTGAGCTGAACTCTATAAAGAGGATCCTTGTGTAGGTCTTTGGAGATTCAAGATGTTGTAGGATGTAGTGCAGAGTCATATTAACAGCATCATCTGTCGATCTATTTAATAATAATATAATATAATATAATATAATATAATATAATATAATATAATATATATTTAATATAATAATATATAAGAGAAATGGAGAATTAGTTTAGCAATGAATATTGACAAATTATTTGAAGAATGTTGACTAACATGGACATGACATACAGTAGTACATTTATAGATTGCTCTTTAGTATCATTTAATATTACAATTTAGACTTTGAAAAGCTATCTCTATTCGATGAAAATTTAAAGCAAAAATCACAGTTTGCAGTGGGGATTCCGAGCAGTGAATTAATTAAGATAAGAGTTATCTTGCTATTGGAGAGGTTGTTACAGACATTATATCATTTGATATTTACACTGAGGAGGGCTAGATAATAAGATGGGGATCTCTGAAATTTAGAACTATTATTTAAATTAAGCAATTACTAACTGCAAGCTCCAGATTCTTCTCCTCTGCCTCTCTTGCTTATAATAGAACTACAATATTTCACCTATGCATGAATTCATTCACCTCATGAAATAAATTTAATCTGCTCTAAATCACTCTCTTTCCACTACTTCCAAGTACCAAAGACCAGCTACAGTGCATAAACCCTTACCTTCTATCCCACATTTAAATATAAGAGAACTATTGCATTATTAAATAGAGCTAGATTAGTCTATGAAATGACTGACTGATTTTTAAAAAGTGCTTACTTTTTAAACAATATCCAAGTTAGAGCAGCTGTATTTATAAGGGGGAATTTGGAACTTAATCAGAACAATTTATCTATAGATTTTCTGCTGAATTGTTTGAAGGACACTATTGCAGCCTTTCCTTATCCCCGCTATCTCCTATGTAAAAGTGATGAGAGTGGAATTCATGAAAAAAAGTATTGCACTCGGATCCTTAGAGAAATCTGACTGAAATGTGGCAGGATTACTGTCTTCTAAAATACCTGCTATCCTGAACAGTAAAACAATCTATTATAAGGCTAAACTGCTTCAGGACAGCAATGGGTGAGATTGAAAGAAAATTATGTCACCTTTTCCAAGATCATTAAGATCCCCATTTTTGGTCCATTTAAAATAGTCTACAGAATTTACAACATAGTTTGACCATGAAGTTACTAGATACCCTAGAACCATGATGTCAAGCCTACGGCATGCATGCCAGAGGTGGCACGCAGAGCCCTTGCGCAGAGGTGGCACGCAGAGCCCTTGCGCTGTTGCCCCAGGTCAAATCTCCATGACGTTTCTTTCATGAGCTTCTGTTTCCCTGCAAATGACAAAACAGAAGCTCACGAAAGAAAAAAAACTTACTTTGTGCCGCGCTACTGGTGATGAGATGCCCTGCCTTCCGCAGGCCAGCTGGTTTTCAGGTCTCTGCTGCACATGCATGCATGTCCACACATGTGCATGTACATGCATGTGCATGTTTATGCATGTCTGCACAAGTGCATGTTTACACACACACACACACACACACACACACACACACACACACACCCCTTTCAGTTTGGACATGCGCATGCGCAGTTTGGGCACTCAGTGTCTAAAAGGTTTGCCATCACTGCCCTAGAACTTTATGAAAGTTGCTATCTTACCTTAAATTGGTTGTTTCACTTACGAACTTCATAACTGGCCCTGAAGTTAGAAGTATTAACTGAAATATCAGATTTGAACTTGATCCAGAGGCTACTTTGATTGGAAGTTATTGCAGAAGGGAGCATATTTCCACAGAACTTGTTGATCAAAGGAGCCCTCTCAGTATCACCATCTCGGATCTAATCCATAAAAATAATAATAATAAAAAAGCCTAATCATCTCAATTATCTCATCAATTTCATATATATGCCAGACAGTTGTCTCAATGAAATATTAGAAGTAATAATAATAGAAGTAATAATAAAGGTAGTAAGGAAATACCAGAACATGCCAAAAACATGAAAATTATTGGAATGCTTAGTTTGCCATTGCTCCATATTTTCCATGCTGACTTTCAAAACTTTTTCTTCTTTCAAAAATTTTTACACTCCATTTGCACTTTACTTGTTTGAGGAAAACATAGTGGAAATAACAACAAAATTAACAAAGCTTTACTGTATACAATTTCTTGAATATCTGCTTTCTGGGGAGAAGGCAATATAAACAGCTTGAGAACAGTAAATATACAGATGCCATTTTAAACTCACTTTAAAGTCTCCAACTCATTTCTACAGGAAATACACTATTATATGAGATGATGCTACTTTAAATTCAAAACTTTTAGAATAGTACCATATGTTATCAATTAAAAGAATGGATTATCACATTCCTGAACATCTGCAGGAATATCTGCAAGGAGATAGGAAGTAAAAAAAACAAAACAAAATGGTGGCCACAACCATATGATCAAAACCCTAGGATGTACATAAAATTAATTGCACAATCCTGACTTTTTTTAAATCTGCAGCAGACACTCCTGTCTGGTTCCCTTATTTCACTGAACTGCAATTTATGTTATTTATCCCCACTTTCTGGAACAGTTACATCATTTGCATTCATGACAAAAGCATTGGCAATAGAACAACTTAGCACAACTGATAAGTACCACATCCAGAAACATGTACAAAGAATATATCATCTGATCAATAATTTGCGTTTTTGGGGGAACTCTGATGAGGTTGGATGTGTATTTAATAAAAAGTATGGGTAGTTCTCAACTTGACCAAAACTGAACCCAGAATTTATGTTGTTAAGTCAGACATTTTTAAAGTGAATTTTGCCCCATTTTACCACTTTTCTTGCCATGTTTGTTAAACGAACTCCTATAATTGTTAAATTAGTAACACGGTTGTTAAATGAATCTGGCTTCTCCATTGACATTGTCAGAAGGTTCAAAAGGGGGTCGCATGATCCTAGGACACTGCAACCGTCATAAATGTGAGTCAGTTGTCAAGCAACCAAATGTAAATCACGTGATCATGGGGATGTAAGTGTGAAAAATGGTCATAAGTCACTTTTTTAAAGTGCCATTGCAACTTTGAATGGTCACTAAATGAACTGTTGTAAGTCCAGAACTACCTGTAATGCACCCACTGTTGTTATTGCTAACAAATTATCAGTGCTTTCCAATGGTTATTCTCCGATATGGGTTTATATTAGAGTACAGATAAATATATTATCTGGAGTTTTAGAGTGTAATGGCTAGAAATCCCAGGCACTGTTATTGTTTCAAAGGTCAAAACATTTCCCACTCATGCTAAAATAGCTAGTTCCATATTTGATCCCAGATACTCTAATATTTCTGAGAGAGCAAAATTGCACTATTTTTCTGAGGGCCCATGAGAAATTTATGACTTTTCAAGATGTGTGGCCTTGGCAATTCTTCTCAGAGGTATCCTAGAGTCATCACATTTGAAAACCCAATGATCTGGCAGATAGTCTTTCAGGATCATTGCAAGAAAGGAGGCAATTTCCCATTCTCTCCATCCAAGACTATGCTTCCAAATAGCAAAAATATTGAGTTACTAAGTGTTTGTGTAGCTTTCCCTACTTATAGTCGTCAGCTGGGTGGATGTGCAGAGGTTCAGAAGGGGTGAAAGGGATCTGCAGAAGAGACACAGATTCAACCAGGCAAACCTATAATATCTGGAATTAATTCCCAAAAGACAAAGGAAATGCCTTGCTAAATTAAACCTATTGTTCCTAATTAAAATGGTTTTTTGCTTTGTTCCATCTGGCTTAGGGCATGTTACTATGCTTTTTCCAACAACTAGAGAAGGAAATTATGAATCTAAATAAATAAATGTTCCTGTTTTCATTTTATATCAGATTTCTGTGTGATTTTGGAAATTAATTCTGCTTATGACAGAAAGAAAGAAGAAATAAATCTATACATTTTAGATATTTCCTCTGTTTATATTAGCTCACATAAATCTTTTACAACATTTCTCACAAGACAAGTTTAAATAAAGATAACCAATGACATTTCCTTCTCATTAGTGCTTCAAATCAAAAAGCCATATGGAACCAATTTGTTGACTCAAAATACACAGACTACAAAGAAAAAAGTACAAAAAAGATCACCCAATCTGTGACCCACCTTCAGAGCCAGGGAGAGTTGTGGAGTGACAAAATCCCCTTACCCCAACACCATACAGTATATAAAAGAAGTAAAATATATTATTAGAACTTTGTGTCCTGTATTTGTGTACATTTGTATGGTGTTTTGCCAAGTGCAAGTAAAACCACTGAAATATTCAGGGAGAAAACAATGAATAACATATGAGCTGAACCAGGAAGTAGGCAAGAGCTCTTTGGAGAAACAGATGTTCTCAAGTTCTGCAGAATCAGAACATTTCAAAAGAAAGAGCAGCATTTACCACTTTTCAAATAATCTGAAGTAGAACTTGAACTAAATCAAATCTAATCACAGAAACAGTTGTCATGACATCAATCAAGGGCCAACCAATCCCCAAATGGGTTGAAGCATTGGGGTGCAAATAACCTGAACCAAATCTAGACTTGTAGTAGTTTCAATAAAATTTAAGCACTTTTCTCTAAATGTCTGACCCCAGGATCTTTTGAGGAACCCAAGGGGAAAATAGTCATGCACTCATGTTCCAAGTAATGTCTGTCACTACAAATTGGGATTGATTCCTTATGGAATTCATGTATACAACTCAGAACGGAATAAAACATTTTGTAAGATATGGTCCTGGCAAAGTAAGGCAGCCAACAAAGCTTATCTTGATATTTAATTTGACATATCATAAAGATGAGTACTATCATAGCTGGGAAATAAAGAGTAAGTAGAACAGATAATCTTTGTTGTTCATGAACTTTTGTTTTATTCTGATTAATTTCACCTATCTCTTGTCCCCTGTAGATGTTGAACCCTAATGAAATTGATAAACTCTTGTATATCTTTGTATATATGTTCCTATAATATATTTTTAATAAATAGATTGTCTTACTTTTCCTGCTCTCTCATAGCTGTAAACCTCTTCAGTAATATCTAGAAACTTTTCCACTGAATCACAACAGGTTTATAGTAGCTCCTCAGAATGAATAACAATATTTCTGTTTTTTTGGAGTGTTTGGGCTGTTCAAATAACTTAAAAGATGACAGAGAGAATTTTAAGACATCAATTTCACTCCTTCAAGCAACCTAAATTGAGCAGTTTCCAAATCCTGAAATATATTGGCCAAAAATATCAACCCAATACTTTCTGGTGATACCATGACATCATCAGCCACATCATCTAGCCACTCCTCTTAGGCTAAAACGGATTGTTTTTCTGCTTTAAACTTTTCCCCTGATGGCATTTTCTCTGGAAGCTGGTTGATATTAAGAACACAATGAAATGGAAATAATCTCTTGTAGACACTTGGGGCAGGCTAATTGCTCCTAAACCCCCTTTCTTTTATTTCTGAAAAAAATAAAAAGAAACTAATCCCAGATTTAGATTCATTTAATTTGTCCTTCACCATTTTTTTAAAAAATAGGAACTAATAATTACCTCAATATAGTTCCGAGAGCAGTTAGGATGTCTTTCCAGCTCTAGGTGTGTGAAATTCAAGTAGATTTTTTCATTTGCTGGCTGTCGGATGATATAAACACATTGTCTGTTGTTCAGATAAGAATTGGGCCAGTAGGGAGACATGATGATCCCACTGCTATTGGTATAGTTTCCTCCACAGTTGGGATCCACTACATGAAGAAGAACAATTCAAAAAGATACTCACAATGGAACTGAAAAAGATTTATAACCAGTCTTCAAACTTATGACCATCCCAGCAACTCCACAATTATGTGATCGCATTTGGCAATTGGCATGCATTTACAAAGGTCACAGCATTGCACAGTCACATGCTCGCCATATATGATTTTCATAGCCAACTTCTGATAGGCAAAGTCAATAGGGAAACCAGCAAGAAGTCACAAGTTGCAATCAAATAATGTCATCCTTAATAACAGCAGCCTGAAATGTAATGTTTCACTTAACAACCACGTTGCTAACAGTGGAGTTGCTGATCCCAATTACAGTCTGTGAATAAGAAGTATCTGAATATGCTTTGCTCCAGTACAGGATATAGTCTTGTTTCAGCCTGCTAATATCTAGTTATGCAGGATGAGAATTTTAAATTTAGGGTTTCCATTGATAACATGTCTGAAAGGCACCAGAAGATGGCTGATAGGGACAAATACACTTACCAGGTGATGTTATGTATGTGATAAGGAATCCTCTATCACTATCATAACCATTGGAATGAAAATGTACCCAAGCGTATGGACCAGTGGTTTGAAGGGGAGGTGGTAACCCAGTACTGCAATATTTCCCAAGGAGGGGATCTTGTGAGAGAAGGCCATCTCGAATCTAAACAAAAACATGCCATCGTGTATTTGTTATACTTTGTCAAATGTAGATGTACCATCTGTATCTAACATCAAAAGCATATTTATTTTCTCTATTATTTCTATTTTCTCTAATAATTGTTTTTTCTACAATATTTCATACTGTCCATAATAAATTAATTTCAACAACCCAGATACTTATTGTTCTGTCTGATGCTATTCAACTGAGCTAATGTTTGTATCATTGTCTGCAAGCAAAATAATAAGAAGAGCCACTTGATCTAGTGGTTAACACACCAGACTAGAAACCAGAATGTCAAGGGCCCAGGAAATCAGGAGATTCAGGCAGTTCAAATAAGTATAAAGATTTATTGCAAGCATTAATTCTCTGCAAGAATCTTGCCAAGTGACTATTAAGAAAAATGCATGGGAGTTAAGAATAGATAGGAATTCAAGATGACTGGACTTAGACTTTGGGTTCAGCCCCACATATTGTGGGGGAAAACAGGAGAAAGTTGTATTGGTTATGTTTGCTGCCTTGAATTTTTTTTGAAAGAGCAGAATATACCTGTAGCTATACCTTTATCCACATACTTCTGCCTCCCCCAAAAATAATTGAGTAGAGATTGTGCACGTAAATCCATCCTAAACTCCCCATGAATTATGATTCCAACCCTTCTTCCTGGGGGTGTTCATGAACTAAAGATATTTCTTCCTACTCTTTCCCATCATATTCAGACAGAAGACCATCACCTTCAAACTCTAGAGCTGAGGATTTGGACTTCAGATTTCTCTGGCTTCCACTGACAATAATCCTAGCTAAAAAGCTAATCATATTTATTAAATTGAGCAATCCTTAAGAGTTGCATGATACCAACATTAAAAATAACAGTGGATGTTTGGCTGTTTAAAAGGTAGTTTACATTATTAACCCTTCTGAAGATGCACCTGGTTAAATACAAGAGGTTTGTTTTCTTTATGTGGTCAATGCTGCATATGATTCAAGAAGTGTTTGAGAAATACTTATTTTCTTGGAAATGGAGATAAGCACTTAACATTTAAATGTTTTCTGAAATGTTCTCATCCTTCACATGATTCTTTTGATTCATGCTTGGGGTTCAAAATGATTCAAGATTAGAATGAATTGTTGTGCATGTTCTATAAAACAGGTTTCATTTGACATATTTTTGATGATGTACTTGGAACAACTTCAGTGTGTTCTCATTGTTTGCAATATGGATAGATTTATTTATCTAATCTTAACTAAGAATAATTCTTGTGGTTTTGTTTTGGTAGCTTAATAGAAAAATGGGATCATGACATATTAGATTTCTCACCTCTGAAAACATTTTAGAATAGAATAGAATAACAGAGTTGGAAGGGACCTTGGAAGTCTTCTAATCCAACCCTCTGCTTAGGCAGGAAACCCTACACCACTTCAGACAAATGGTTAGCCAACATCTTCTTAAAAACTTGCAGTGTTGGAGCATTCACAACTTCTGCAGACAAGTTGTTCCACTGATTAATTGTTCTAACTGTCAGGAAATTTCTCCTCAGTTCTCAGTTGCTTCTCTCCTTGATTAGTTTTCACCCATTGCTTCTTGTTCTATCCTCAGGTGCTTTGAAGAATAGTTTGACTCCCTCTTCTTTGTGACAACCCCTGAGATATTGGAAAACTGCTCTCATGTCTCCCCTAGTCCTTCTTTTCATTAAACTAGACATACCAAGTTCCTGCAATTGTTCTTCATATGTTTTAGCCTTCAGTCCCCTAATCATCTTTGTTGCTCTTCTCTGCCCTCTTTCTAGAATCTCCACATCTTTTTTACATCGTGGTGACCAAAACTGAATGCAGTATTCCAAGTGTGGCCTTACCAAGTCATTATAAAGTGGTATTAACACTTCACAGGATCTGTTTATGCAGCCTAGAACTGTGTTGGCTTTTTTGGCAGCTGCTGCAAACTGCTGGCTCATATTTAAATGGTTGTCCACTAGGACTCCAAGATCCGTCTCACAATTACTACTATTGAGCAAGGTACCATATATACTGTACTTGTGCATTTTGTTTTTCTTGCCTAAATGTAGAACCTTACTTTTTTCACCATTGAATTTCATTTTGTTAGATAGCGCCCAGTGTTCAAGTCTGTCAAGATCCTTCTGTGTCTTAAGCCTATCTTCTGGAGTATTTTAATATAAATATCATGAAAAAATACAGATTTACATTTAAGTCTATTGATATATTACTTTCTAAAATTATAGAATATTTTGTAGACTGTGCAATACAATAATCTGGAAAATCAGTGGCTAGGTTCATATATGACACAAGGTTTTCAATGCTGAAGCTGATAATATGATTTGTAACTTTTGTTTAATATTTTCTTAACATGTTACTGGATGACTTACTTGCTAGAACATGGCAACCAAGATTAAATGCTATGGTGAACCCTTCCTATAATATACAAATTTTTCTATTTAGCTTATTTAAGTCATGGAATTTTTTAAAAAAAATTGTGCTGTTGCTATCCATTTATTTTTAAAATTATTTTTACCTCAAGATAATCTTGAGTACAGCTATCATGATGTTCATGATGTTCAAGACTCAATAAGCCAAAAGCAAATGTAATAAGAAGACCAGGATTAGTTGAAATGTTCCAATAACAATCCTTATTGGGAGGGTAGTTGCCAGGATAGCCGGGTGAATTAATTATCCCATATGTACTGGTCAGTTCTCCACCGCATTCTAAAGAGAAAGGAGGTGTAAAGGAAAAAAATTAACTAAGTTAATTACTTCCCTTTTTAATATTTTCATTGCAGGTCATAAATTCTGGAAGCTCCATTCCATTCCATTCATTAAGTCTATGATTGTGATTATCATCGCTGGTAGTCATATTTAATAAGGGCACAGGTCATCTTGTTTTGTTAGCTGCTTGAAGTACAAACTATTCTTTCTGAATTTTAATTGAGAGGAAAGGAAAAAATGCCTTGAAGAGCATTTCTACTTTGTCTTCATCACTTGGATGAAGGGAAGGAAAGATGACAGAATATATAGTTTCTAGGTGACCAAAACCAGGAAGTTATAATCTAACATATCTGGAGAGGCCATCATGTTGGAGAACAATCACCTCCACTGTGATGCTGCCCTATTGGAAACACCAAACTATCTAGCTGTTCTGGACGTTCAGGAGGGAGGAGCTGACCTCACCCGAGGAGGGGGCAAGAGGTTCCACAGGACAGGTGCAACAGCAGAGAAGATCCTTCTCCTGAACCCCCAGCCATAACAATTGAGCTGACGGAGCCTGCAGCAAGCATGGGGCAAAGGAATCCCAGTGGGAAGAGGCTGTCCCTCAAATAGCCTGGACCCAAATAGTATAAATATTTTTCTCAAAATCCTTCCTGAATAGTAACTAGGAATGTGTGATTCAAGCTGTATTTTGTGCTTGGAATTCTGAGTAAACCATATCTCAATCAAGCTACCATATACAAATAGCTCCCATTCCACCCATGTTACTGAGGATGTTATCTAGTCTGATATTGCAATATCTGCAAGAAGAAAGACAAACTCGGAGTTATAAAGAACCGAACAACAGGGAAATCATTACATTTAGAGTCTAGCTTATATTTAAAAATGTTTTTCTATAAAATTATATTAGGATTCCATAATTACTCAAAACTTGTGTTCTTCAGATTTTAATTCTATTCTTCTAGAACTGCATTGAATGGATTTATTATTTTTGCCAGACTGTAATGGTTCATTTCTTTGTGGCTTAGCATGCTGTATAAAACTACTGAGGCTCTAAAACCATGTCTTAAGATTGGAGTACATAACTTGTCTAGGATGGCATTCCTTCTTCCCTCGCCAGAAGTGCGAATTCAGGAGCCATAATAGGTTTTAATCCTATTGAAACTCACAAGTAGAGTTTTCTCCAACTACCATTAGTTGGGGGTTAGCTTCTAGCATGCATTCAATCAATAGAAATTGCAGTTTCTGGCTTAGGGTACAACCTGAATATGTATCCAGCCAGAGTTTAAATCCTTGACTTTTAAGAAACAAAATAATGCTCCTTACAAAAATATGATCTTACCAGGCTCTTGAGACTCCCAGTGAACTGTAAACCCCTTCCCACTAATCATGTGTTCAGAATGAAATGAAAAATACAAAGAATTGTGACTGCTAAAAAGCTGCTGTGGTTGATGTGGTCCACAATATTTCCCCAGCATATTTGCAGATGTTGAATCCCCATCATGAATCTGGAGATAATCAAATCTACAGTCGCTACTCCCTCCCAGCTGGAAGAATGGGAAAGTGATGTGTAGAACCTAGAAGGAAAGAATAGAGAATGATTTCATTGTTGTTGTTTTTTCATTTCCCAAGACAGAGTCAATTCTGCAGGATGATTAGATACCATTCGTACAATTAAACTACACCTGTCTGCTATCTATAACTGTCTCTCGTGCTCTACAATTTCTTGATATTGAAGTTAAGGTAACTTTACTGGTCAAGGGAAGATATAGACCATTACCACAGACCCAAAAGCAGAACAATTTAATCCCAGACACTACTAATTATTTCAGTCACCTGATAACATTTTATTATTGTGTGGTTTAATTGTTGCACTATTAGCCTTGGGAGATCTGCATTCATATTCCTTATCCCCTGTCTGTTCATAATAATCTTTTATAGCCAATTCAGAAATTATATATGTAAGCAACATTAGTATAACAAATTAATGTCCTCATGGATATTATCTTATTTCAATACATATAGACGTTATTTCTAATTCAATATCTTTTAGATGTATTTGATTTCAACTACCAGATTTCTCAGCCATCACAGAATCTAAAATCCATGTTGGAAGAACGCAAGGTGGGGAAAGGCAGTCTTACAACAATTTAGAAAGTAGTTTCATGAATATGTTGATTTTGGTATAAAATAGTATATATATATGTTAGGAAGCCATGTTGTGATTTGTAAATACTCAAGATTAAACAAACCCAATTTACTGTAGTTTTAACTCTCTTCTATACCATTGCAGTTAATTAATTTGCATAATGATTTCAAAAAGTCATGCAAGTAGTATAAATCATTGCAAACAAGAAACTGATTATTATTATCATTGCCTTCTTTAGTTTACTGTACTGCTGATAAAACAAAAGTCTTGAGAGATATCTGGACAGAAATTTGGTTTATTGCATTACAAACTCTTTGGGGTTGGAGGTTAAACTGAGATTTCAGTGTATCATTATTACTGAACAGTTATTCTATGAGCAGGGATATTAGTATGATTTTTCATGGCAAGAGTCAACTTTTCCATTAAGGTAAGCTTGCAATATTGATGCTACACTCAGTACATGATGTCTGTTTGGTAGGTAGGCTTTATTATACAACTTGCCCAAGTCACCAAATGAATTTTTTTGGCTGGTATAGATGTGAATGGAAAACGGAAGCAGCATGCTCTGTTCCATAATTGGGTAGACCAGGTTGCCCTGATATACTGGTCTCACTTTTTTTTTTTTAATTTGATTTATATGCTGCCCTTCAGGGCGGCTTACAATGCGTTAAGCAATAGCCTTCATACTTTTGTATATTTATACAAAGTCAGCTTATTGCCCCCACAAACTAGGTCCTCAATTTACCCACCTTAGAAAGGATGGAAGGCTGAGTCAACCTTGAGCCTGGTGAGAATTGAACTCGCAGTAATTGCAGGCAGCTGGATGTTAAATGCTGCCTTAGGAGGCATTAGCTTCCTACGCCATTCAGGCTCCACTTCACTTTTGGATGTGAACTTACACTCAGCAAAAAAAAATTAATAGAAAGTTTGTGAATCTATAACAAAAGTATATTGTTGTACATAATAATTATATATAAAATCTTTCCCCCAATTTTGTTGTCCTATTGTTTCCCGGTTTTACACTCTTTACCTTATTATAAAAGGTCCTGACAACCCAATTACAATTGACCTGTTGATTATATTGCACATATCCTGAATTGTTGGGGTAACTGAATGATCCTGAGGAGCCAGCAAGGGATCCTCCACAATCTGCAACTGAGGAAAAAAAATGAAGAGTTAGCCTATGCAAACCTATTCACAACTTTTCTGGAAATACAAATCTCAAAATTCCTTTTCCGTTATGGCTTGAGATATATGAGTTATAGGTCTCACAGAATGTGAAGCAGGGTTAGTTGCAGCAATTCCTTTCATGAAAACCTTGGTGCCATTCTCAGTTATTATAGCTATTCAACCTATATACTGAGGCTTTTTGTTCAGATTATCTTTCTTCCTAAATTTTTCTGTGATGAGTCACATTAACAAGAGGTCGATTATCTAAAGCAGTGTTTCTCAATTTTGGCAAAAAGATGTGTGGATTTGAACTCCCAGAATTCCCCACACAGTTCAATTGAAGTCCACACATCTTAAAGATGCCAAGATTAAGAAACACTTATGTAGGGAATACCAGCCTTGGAATGGTTCATTGAACCAACAACTTTCTCGTCAACAAACAAGACTTCTACATCCTGCTATCGGCATTATATTGCATTGCAATGAATTATTCATTTAATTTGCTGGATATTTGACACTGCAGTCCAGTCCAACTATCTTACATTCACAAGAGTAACCATTCACTCCAGTAATGCAGCTTCCTCCACAGTAACATGGATTTCTGGAACACTCACCAAAGTTTTCTGAACAGTTGATACCAATCCAACCAGGATCACACTCACAGTTATAGCCAGAGACTGTATCCTGTAAATATTAACCCAAATAAAAAAGAAATGTAGTGCTGTAAGCATGCATCATTTCCCAGAAGAACCCAATTTCAAAAGTAATTCTATACATGTTGAGGTATTGTGATCTAAATTCAGCCTATACATGCTCACATGCTCAGTCATGAATCTTCAGACATCTTAGGAACCAGCCAATCTTGCATATAGGTATTTTGCAAATTTTAAGGGATTATTTTTGTACATTTGGTGGCAGTCTGAGGAAGGCTAGCAAAACATTAAAGTTTAGACCTTTGTTTCTTACTCGGTGTGTGTGCTTTCTGTATTGTGAGTTATTTAACCATGGTTTGTGTTTAAATCCAGAATCCTGGCTTTTTCCTGACTTACAGTTGGGTGGGTGCGCTCTGTCATTTCTTTAGGTTTGTTGGCAGACACCAAGCCTTAATAATTTTGCTTGTCTAAACAATTGAGTTTGTCTTACTCCTTAATGCAGTATCTGAATCCAGACAACATATAATTGAGAATGAAAATACTATAGAATAGCATAGTTAATACAATAATACATTGTAATATATCATTAGCATAATAATGATGTAGTATAATCAGGGGTGAGATTCAGCCTGTTTGGGCGAACCCACCCGCACCTGTCTTATCCTGTCCTATATTTCTTTCTGGCTCAGCTGATTCACTTGGCACAGCTAATTTCCGTGCCTCCGCTGTTCTGCTTACTGGGGCTGCTTTAGAAGGTAAGCAGTTTAGCTTCAAATTGCTGTATTTTGAACGCTGTGTGCAAGTGTGTTAGGCGTGTGTGCACAAAGCCTGTGCTCACAGAACTGGTTATTAAATTGGTTGCCCACCACTGAGTATAATTCATATAACAATAACAGTAATACATTGATCAATAATATTTTGGATATCTATTGATAAGATAGATGTGGTCTGAGAAAATATAAGTCTATATAATCAAAGTTTAACAAGAGCACTGAAGATTTAATACTTCATGTTCATAAATTCACTTTTAAAGACACATACAAGACATTGTCCATTTACACAAGGATTGTGTGTTTGGCATATGATGCTCAGGGCAAAACATCCATCTGAACCATAACCATTTCCAGTGTATCCATCTGGGCAAGCACAATTAGGTATAGAGCCTAGAAATAAAAAAAGAAGGAAGGCAAAACAATCATCTGAATTTGCTTTGGGCATCCTTATTTTCTGCTATTATAATAACACCACAATTTTTCATTATCTGAGAGTACCCAAATGTTTTACTAGCATCCATGCCAGAAAATGAAGAGACCAGAGCTGTGAACAGAGAAGAAAGTAATAGGAAATGCCAAAGAGGAACATGTCTGACCAACCAGAGTCAGTAGGCACATTAGCTAATGTGAAGCATTATGAAAACAATAGCAATAGCATTTAGACTTATATGCCACTTCATAGTGCTTTACAGCACCCTCTCAGCAATTTACAGAGTCAGCATATTGCCTACAACAATCTGGGTCCTAATTTTACCAACCTTGGAAGGATGGAAGTCTGAGTCAATCTTCAGCCAGTCAGGATCAAACTCCTGACTGTGGGCAGAATTAGCCTGCAATACTGCATTCTAACCATTGTGCCACCATGTTACATGTCAGATACTGAACAATATTGTTACTGTATTTTTTTTTTATAAAGAAGACAAATGGAGGTATTATTGAAATTTGGAGTCTCTCTCAAAGAAATTTGAGTTGTGTTCCATAAATTTTGAGTGGGATGAGACACCAACACGTCGTACCTCTTCATATAGCACAATGTTTGTGGCTAGCCCTGAGTACAAAGCTTCTTTGTCGTATAAATCAGATGAAGAGTGTAAAGTTCCATTGGAATCTCTATATATTTTGGAAGACAATCCTCTTCCTTCTGTATTGAAGCTAAAAGATTACAAAGTGGATGCCCCAATCCCAGATGTTTAGGGTCTACATTTCTTGGAGTTATTGGTCCAGCACAATTGGAAAGTAGAGGTTCCATTAAGGCAGAGTTTCTCAACTTTGGCAACTTTATGTGTGAACTTCAACTACTACAGGGGTGTCAAACTCAAGGCCCGAGGGATGGATCCGGCCTGCGGGGGTGTTTAGATCTGGCCCATGAGGCCACCCTGGAAATAGCAAAGGCCCGGCCCATGGTGCCTCCACCAGTGAAAACAGAGCTTGTGAGGACCGAACGCAGCCCTCCTGGGCTCCATTTTCGCTGGCAGAGAGTTGTAGGAGGCTATTGCAGCCAAAAACAGAGCTCGGGAGCCTGTTTTCACTGGCAGAGCGCTCTGGCCACCACAGCCTCCCTGATACAAATGATGTCATGCTGGCCACGCCCACTCTGGCCACACCCACCCTGGCCCCCTGAGGTCAAGCACAACCATGATGTGGCCCTCAAATCGAGTTTGACACCCCTGAACTACTAGAATTCAAAGTCCACACATTTTAATGTTGACAAGATTGAGAAACACCACAATAAGAGATTAAAATTAAATTTATACACACACACACACAATAACACCCCCCCAGCACTTTTCACTTTCAAGTTTTGAGCAATATCTTTTTTGATTTTCATTTTATATGCCACTTTTAAGTCCTGTCTACTGCACAAGGAGCTTAAAGGATAAGTATGGTTTTCTTTCTTCCTGTTTTACCTTCCCAAGCCTTCATAGCAACTTAGACAGAAGGTAACAAATCACTAATATGCCTTTTGGCTGAATGAAGCAGGATTCTCAGGATTCTAGTTCAATTTCATAATCTTCCTTTTTCATTGAGAGCTTCTCCAAGATCAGCTCTGAGGATTGGCCCTCTTTTCATTTGTCTCAGGGCACACCTGAAGGATACTGTTGTGCCAGTTATGTGGCCTGTCCTGTGCACTCTAAATAAGCTTTGTCAGATGAACCAGTTCAGTACTCTGGAAGTTAAGATTTAACTGCCAGCTTTGGTATACAGAATGGAAAATGGGTACCATCTTGTCTTGAAGATTAGTTTTTCTCAACCTCAATCATCTTTAGGTATGTGGGTTCCACTCCCAAATTTCCCAGCCAAAATATTGGGGGAAATTTGGGGAATTGGAAGTCTACACATCTTCAAATTCATCAAGTTGAGAAACACTATTTTAGATAAGGAAAGGGAAAATTTTGTTGGCTAGATATAGCCTTCATACAAACCTAGTGTTGTTGTTTTCAATATTACCTGATATGCTGTTACATACAGCTAGTGGATGGCAACCCCCATTGTCGACTGAGCATATGTTAACCAGCGTGCATACTTTTCCATCACCTTCATAACCTGATTTAAAGAAAACAGTAACTTTATCGAGCAGTGATGGCATGTGATGGTGAAGTAAAAATAAATACTGCTCTTAGACAACAGTGTTGAGTGAACTCTTCGCCAAAGGCAAACTGTTTCACAGATTTCTACATTCTAGGAAGAGGCTCAGATCCTCCTGACATCAGTACAAGCCATTTAAATTAATTTGCAGCAGTATATAAATCAGGAGGAAATGTGGTCAGCAGAATCAAATCTTATGACTTGATTATATTAAATACTGCACTTCATTTCATTGATTCAATACATCCTTGTGTTTCTGCCAAAATACCAGTTACTATACTAACACAAAATGCATTAAAAAGGAACAGTATGGTGATATCCATAATGAATATCGCTTGATGAACTGTTCCATAAATAGATCATGCAAATAATTTGGTAACCTTCAACTATGGATTAAAATATAGTAATATGTACCCCTTCAGCCGTTATGGAAGGAAATTCTTTAAAAAGGAATGTAATTTGCACCTCCATACAAAATATTAATTAATTTATTTATTATTTAAAAAGTCAGTCAAGATCTACTTTCTTTTAACCTGTAAAATCCATTATTTTCTGTCTTGAATGATGCAAGTGATCAAATGATGCAAGAATAAGCTTTGGATTTCTTCTCTGTAACTTCGTCCAAGGTATTTGAAGAGCCCTAACTCTCCTTCAACTTTCTCTTCTCAAAGCTAAGCATTCTTGGTTCTTCATTCTCTTTTTATAAGATATATGAAATTTGCCCTTTCTCTGAACTGAGTTTGTCTGTATTATTCTTACACCATTGTGATTGTTAAGTATAGAGGCAGAGAGTTGGCCAACATCTGTTGAACAAGATGCCTTCAACAACCCTTTTTCCTTTCTTCAATGGTCGACTTTTTCCCCATTTAGGTCTTAAGAAAAAAGAGGCAATGCCAGCTACTTCCCTTGTTTCATACAGTACTATTGATTGACAGTCTTCTTCTAGCTAAAATGATTGAGTGAATGTTCAATTGGTGAGGGATAAAAGAACAGTAACAAGCTAGTGAGCCTTGATAACCAATCATTCTCTCTGTTATTGAAATCTGGACTTCCACAAATGCCTAGTAATTGCAACTTCTGATACTGACCATCTTGTGAAAAATCACTTTATCTTATGAGCTAATCTTTCTGTTCAAGGCTTTTGCTACATGTACCAACTGGAACAATAGCTTATATAAGACAACAAATTCAAAAAGTATTGTCCCTTTCCATTTATTAGATATAATTTTTGTATTTAACAATTCACTACATGGATAAAAAAATTTCATGTTGATGAATGGATACAATCTATTCAGATAATCAAGCAGGCCAAACAAAAGAGGTATAACACCGTGGTGAAATTCAGCCGGTTCTATTGGGTGAACTGGTAGCACCGGCGGTGGGAGGCTCCACCCACCCACCTGGATGTCGTCATGTCCTGGTTTTTGCCCTCTGTGCATGCGCAGAAGGCTCTGTGCATGTGTGGATGAGGCACGTGCAAGCGTAGCGAGCACACACGCTCACATTTCCAAACCAGTAGTGAAGGCAAGTAAATTTCACCCCTGGTATAATACCATGTTTTCAGAGCTAGATTCAGAAATAAAAAAAATATTATTCCTCTAATAATCAGTATGGAAACACAGTGGACTGTTTATTTTTGCTTCATATAAATACAGTCATGTGTGTGGTGATTATATATATGGAGACACAAACAAGGAAATTTTAGAAAATACATTTGTTCCAGATTTGTAAAGGAAGGATGGATAGATATATAAACACACACACATACATACAAACACACACACACTAATATAAGGTGAACCTAATTAACTAATATAGACTTGTTTATCTGGTGGACAGTGACTACAATAAAAATATTCCAATGTGTTAAGTCAACAATTGAGAAAGATGAACAACTTTCATTACTTATTTCAGATTCATTAATACCTTGGCAGCTATACTCCATGTCCCTCCCAGCTGTCAAATCACATTTTAAAAAATGCTAGGTTAGTCTTATGTTTGAATATGGCCAAACAGGAGTTATTCCTCCTCAAAGACAAGACCACTCTGATTCTCATACAGAGAGCTACTATTTTTAATAGTATAATGCCCCAAACAAAGCAATATAAAGTTTGAAAACAGCATCTCAGAAAGAAGATGATAGCACCATGAACCTCCTTGTAATGCCAATGCTAAGCCCCATGAGAAAACAACTGAAAGGACATTTATGAAATACTGCTCACCTGCTGGACAAGGATCACAGAAATAAAAGCCTGGCATATTGATACACCGTACAGGTGGATTCACTGAACAAGGTGGATTCGGGAGGCTGCATTCATCGATGTCAGCATTGCAAGCAAGGCTCCCTGGAGGCGACATCCAGCCATCATCACAGATGCAAGTATAATTTGGCTGCCAGGTTAAAATAAGGTAAACATCAAAATAACTGTGAATGTTCCTAAAAGAGTTACTTTTATTTGCACTGTTACTATTACCAAGCCATTGTTCTAGAATCTGACATGTCAAAATTCTTGATGCAATTTCAGTTTATCTTATTTCCCCAGGTTTTCTGTTCCTTCCTCTAACAATTAAAGCTTAATACATACTCGCAGTGAAATATATTGTTATCATGTCAGAAAAAGAAAACCCATAATTTTCTCTGAAAAAGGTAGAAAATGACTGGTAATCACGAAATGAACCTAAATAGAGGTAGAACAACAAATACATCTCAAATCTGCAGAAAGAAACACATCAATCTGAACATTAGCTGATTTATTTTTGGCAAACTATGTAATTATAATCTGAAGAAGCAGGTAAATAAAAGTTGCTCATTCACAGACTTCCAGGCTATCAAATGGGTTCCTGATTTAAACATAAGCACAATCATGAAGACAAAGTCTAGATTCTACTACACAGCAAATAGTATAGTGATACTCTTTGAAACCACCTCTGTTGCAAAATGGCAACTATAGTTATTACAAGGACAAGTAAGATATTGCTAGTAAAGAGCTCAAAGCATTTTGGAGACATACCTCTTAAACAAAGTATGAATGCTGTTCATTTTGTAGCAATTAAAAACATGGGAAATGTTGAATTGATAAGAAAATATTCATATAAAACATTGCTAAAATATAGTGAGAAGTGGGGAATCCTTTTCACAGCCGGATAGTAGCCTATAGAAGACAGTTTCTGAAAGCAAAATTTCCTGTCCCCTCTTTCCTCCAGCAGTCTGCATAACTTTCCCCAAATGCTACTAAGAAAATCAGGGGAATTTCAAAATAAGGCGGAGTGTGGTAACATATATCCATTCTCATGCTGAGAGAAGGCAGAAGTCCTCCACAACCAGGCAGAGATACCTTCTGCCAATGGAGACCTTCTTCACTGAAGATTCCTTCTTCCACTTCAACTTTTTCTTAGGTTGATGAAGGATGCAGTATTCTAAGAAAGTGTTGCTGCTAAATGTTTAACCAAATAAATATAAATAAAATTTTATTATTCCCAGGCTAGCTAAGGTTAATTCTGATTAAATTTCCACAGATAATGGAATCTTCAGTAGAACTGAAAGGACAATTGAAAAAAAATGAGACTTACATCCAGGAAATTGGTTGTACAGCAACTGCACTGCTGTATATCTCAAAGTTTTGGAAAAAGCTTTCTGGGCAATTGAGTACAACTCCTCACATCCTGCACAAATGCCAAATAAATTATTTGAAATAAAGCTCCCTAGGTGGCTCAGTGGCTAAGACATTGAGCTTGTAGATCAGAAAGGTCGGCGGTTTGAATCCCTAGTATAGGTCTCCTGCGTGAGCAGGGGGGTTGGACTAGATGACCTCCAAGGTCCCTTCCAACTCTGTACTATTACTGTTACTTTATTCCTGGCAGGTATCTACTCTTGAAACAAGGCTTCTCTTGCTTACCTGATGGAGCTGTTCTCTGTTTCCATCCACACAAACCCCATGCCCACAAAGAAGAGAGGATCCGCCTTGACAATCGTCAAATTTTGATGTGCAGTATTGTCCGTATGTTTCTGGTGTACAAATGCAACTTTTGAAAGAAAAATAATGAATTAATATAAATATTCTTTTTATGTGTCCAATGTAAGATTTTGATTCAGGCACATTCATCATTTTTATATTGTGTTTATATTACAAGTAGTCCTCACCACCCACAGTTGGGGCCGGTAACTCTATCGCTCAGCAATGCAATTGCATAGTGAAACATCACACGACAACTCCTGACTTAACTATGCCTTAACTAGTTGATCAATTTTTGATTGGCCTTTAGGCAAATCATCACATCATTAAGCATGATGATTTTTTTATATTTTTTATGTTCCTCATTTTTACACCTTGAAATGAAACATTATATTCTTAGAGAAAATTCTAATTTGATAGAAACAATAATGTTTTCCCAGCTAGAATGTGCTCTCTTTCGTTCATATGACCAGAAAAACCTCCAGATATAGTGGAGTATCTTGGCTTTTATCACTTTTAAATAATCAAAAAACTGTTTTCATGTTTCCAAATATTGTAATGTAGTTATTAGCTTAAAAACAAAATTTTACATATTTTATCTAAAAAAAAATCAGAAGAATAAATGCAGAAGAATGAATTTAAAATGCAGGTTGATATAGTAACAGAATGGAATGGACTTATGAAGTAATGTATGTGAAACTGAATGGAAATAATTTGATCAGTTCCCTTGTACAAAACAGCTTGCAATTTATCTCATTGATTTTCCAATGATGAATTGATTTATTAAATTGGCTGATAATGACAACTTCACATGAATTTATAATACAAATATTCATATGAATGTTTATATGAGAACAAAATACAATGTATTAAATTTATTAATATTTGGTAAATATATTTGCCAATTATCTCACCATTGGGCTATTCTAAGAAGCTTATAGTAATTAAAAGAAAGAAAAATGAAAGAAGCATAAACAGAACAGAAGTATAATAATAGAACAGTAAAATAAACAATGACAAAAAAACACAACAAGAATAACACATCAATATGATCTCCAAAAAGATGGAGAGCAAGTGGGGGAAGGTGGAGTCTGCCATCAATCTAGAAATTATATATTCAAATATGTTCCAGTAAAACTAAAACTAAAAACTAAAACATCACATCATCTATTCTGCATGTTCTAAAGAGTCTTTTCAGGAGCCTTCATCTGTGATAAATTTTTAATCAGAGGCTTCATATTTTTTTTTCTGAGATGCTATAACAACATTCTGCATTTGATATTTTGCACTGAGCATAAAGCTGAGCAAGACAGCTTTCAAGTCCTTTCCAATTTTATAAACCTGTAATTTTATATGTATAAAGATCAGGGAAGCCAACACCGATTGTATGAACTTTAGGGAAGCTATGACTTAGTGCAAGTTGTGTTGCAATAGATTTATTCTTTAATGAGTCTGTTAGTTTTTTTCTGCATTACTTCTATTCCACTACTACTACATATGTGGTAGCATGTGTTTTACTTTTAGAGCTGTCTTCATTCTGTTCCTTTGAAGAATTCCCAGTTCAAACTTTACAATTCTTTTGGCACCTAAAATAATTAAGATCAAAAGTCCATCCAGTTTCTAGGCCCAAATTATGCCTCAAACAGCAATCCTTCAGAAAAAGTACAGAGAATACTATCCATGTTTATTCTATGTTCAACATCTGGAAATAAGCTACATGAGATACTCTGAATACAGGTAATACTTGAGATACAACAAGCCATTTAATGAACGCTCCAAATTACGTACAACAGATCTCCCAAAAGCAACACAGGACCTGATTTCAAAGTTATGACAGCTGCAGTGGTTCTGTGATTGTTTGTCCTTACAATCTAGCACAGGGTTGCTGCAGTAATCCCATTGTCTCTTTCTACCCATTCCATTCCACACCCATCATGCCCCATACTTACTTTTTGAAAGTACTTTTTTGACTTCATGTTGTAGAAGGAGGGCAGGCCACATGGCCCCAGGATGCACAAGGGTGATCTAACTGTGCTTCATTTTGCTGCCTTAGAGAGGTCTACACAGTGCTGCAGGAAGCTTCTGAATGTAGAAACTTTCTGCAGCATGGTGCAGACCTTGATAAGCCAACAGAATGGCAGTGACCCAAATGTGGCTGCACAAAGAAGGAAGTTATTCCAGTGCCCTGAAGAACTCAAAGCCTTAGAGTTCTTCAGAAGATAATTGAGGAGAAAGGTGTTTGCTCTGGTAGGGTGGAAATCAAGCCTAAGGCCTGGGAGGACCCAGTGGGAGTGGGAAAAGATCTGTTGGAATCCAAGGTGTGGGAAGTGGAACAAAGGGCATCTTGGAAGTGGGAGGCCATAGGTGGGCCAGGGCCTATATTCGGCCTCCAATGGTGTCCCCCATCCAGGAGCAACCCCATGTTCTGCTTAAGAACCTGCATTTCACAACATTTCATTGGAAAGAGCAGGGATGAAGGAGGCATTAGGTGGGATGTTTCACCTAACAACTGACATATAGTAACGATAATTGGCAGGCTCCATTATGGTCATATCTCAAGAACTCTCATACATAATAGCTACTACTGTTAGACCATTTTTTTTCATGAGTGGTAACTCATTTGGAGTACTGCATCATGTTTAGGGTTTTAAAAAAAGATGATGAAGTAGAACAGGTTCAGAAAAGAATAACAAATCTGGTTCTTCATACAGAAATAAGTATTAGACACAATAATAAATTAATATTAGTATTAGAGGTGAGGAAGGCTGAGATTCAGCAGTTTCTTCATCAATGAGGGATAGTCTCACAGAAAAGAGTAAGAAAGGACCTTTTGCTACCAGAGGAGACACAGGATCTAATTTGATTAAAATTATAAGATGTTGGCTGTAGATGAACATTATTACTAAACTCACTTTTGATAGTAAGAATAGTTTGAATCCCTGAACAATCAAGAGACAATAAGTAAGTCAGCTGGTATCTCACAAACAGCAACACAACCTATAGGAGGCTGGAAAGAAGTGTTTTATATCATTCAAAGAATCTTCACCTTACTATGAATGAAGATGGAGAAATCCTAGAACAGCTTCCAAGATTCAGTATTTATCCTAATGTAGCTACATGGCAGTGACATTTACCCTAATGTAGGATTAAAGATAACTCAGTGAAGTCTTGCTTCCTTGATCTTGCACAGCTGCTTGGGCTTTGACACAATTATCTAAACAGAAAGAGGAAGTTGCAAACCTTAGCCAACTTTCATGCTATTCTTCACCCAGTTTCAAAAGCTTCTGAAAAAGGTCAGTTTAGGCCTCTAATAATAATTGATTTAGCAAACAAGCTCTTCCTGGGTTGTGAGAAGGGGAGTAAAGGGAAAAATAAGGGATAGAAGAAAAAGGATTCCAGGGAGAAAAATAATTTTGAGGAAAAAAGTGGGGCTTCACTCACTTTTGGCTTTTAACAATTTATTGGTTGCTCCAGCTTTTCCTAGTGTTAGAGTCTGTCTGTCTGTCTCTGTCTCTGTCTCTGTCTCTCTCTCTCACACACACACAGAAAGAGAGAGACACAGAGATTTACTGACATTCACACAGTTTTATTATTCATATATTATTTTATTCAGTAAGTTATCCCTCACTAGAAGACTTCAAACGGAGACTGATGGATCAAACAGTTTAGTGGGTATGACATATTATACTATAGTTTTCTTATTGTAAGGGATCTTAATTTTAAAACTGAAAGCATTGAAAACCTCTGAATAACCCGCCTCCCTCCAAAAAAAAGAATCTCTAAGTATATTTTGATCTAAATTTGCCTTCACTTAAAACCTTTTAAGCTATGACAAAATTTTCTAAAACAAAAAGAATGTCAGTTTGGTATTTGTAAAGATAAATTATTTTAAAAGCTATTGTTAAGTATAATTTTTCAATGTCACGCAGAAAAATGGCTTTCATTGAAAAGGTTTTGTTAGGAAGTTTTATAACCCAGTCTCTTTTTTAATCAAAACTCAAATCAAATGAATCATGACTAATGAACAAGAGCTCGTCCAGATTTTTGGTGAACTGCCTGAAAAAAAAGGATAACTCAAATGTTTTTTTGGAAAATAGTGGGAATGGCTGAGAAGATAAAAAGAGAACATTTATTTATTGTTGAAGGGTTGAATTTTTTTCCTTTGTTTTTCTACATATGTAGCAGTGCTGGGTTGCCCCTGATTCGGACTGGTTCGCAAGAACCGGTAGTAAAACCGGAGGGAGGCCCCGCCCACCGCCCCGGATATCATCATTAGCGATCTGCGCGCGCGATCCTGTTGCGAACTGGTAGTAAAGGTAAGTAGGCCCACCCCTGATATGTAGGTAGTTCTTGACTTACAGCCATAACTGAGCCCAAAATTTCTGTTGCTAAGTGAGACATTGCCCCATTTTACAACTTTTATTGCTACAGTAGTTAAGTCAGTGGGTCTCAACCTTCCCAATGCTGCGACCCTTTAATACAGTTCCTCATGTTGTGGTAACCCCCAACCATAAAATTATTCCTAAAACCATTGAAAATATGTGTTTTCCGATGATCTTAGGCGACCCCTGTGAAAGGGTCGTTCGACCCCCAAAGGGGTCCTGACCCACAGGTTGAGAACCACTGAGTTAAGTGAATCCAGCTTCTCCATTGACTTTGCTTGTCATAAGTTTACAAAAGGTTATCACATGACCCCAGGACATTGCAACCTTCATAAATATGACTCAATTGCCACATGATCATGGGAATGCTGCAATGGTCATAAGTGTAAAAAACGGTCATAAATCACTTTTTTCAGTGCTGTTGTAACTTCGAATGGTCACTAAATGAGCTAAATTGAGGGCTATCCATAGAATGCATGTGTAATGTAATATATGACATTTGTTATAAACATACAGAACAGAATGCACTGAGTTTTTTAACCCCTTGTAATCAGTTATATCCCCCCCATGAAAGAGAAATTGTGTCTATCCAGATAGAAGAGACCCTTCTGTCACTGAGTCATGGCATAGATAACTTGAAGGTAATGACAGCATTCTCAGAAGGGCTAAGCTGCTGAGTTTTGCTATATCTTTTGTTTCTCACAATAGATCAAGCATACCAACATCTAGTTTCCAGATAGTGTTTAGGAGATCCACTTCAAAGTTATTCTGGGAAATGTAAGAAAATCCGGTAGTTGTTCCAGCTTTCTGGTGTGTTTCATGGTATTGATTCTGCAATATGGTAATAAAGTATAAGAATGGTGAGCACTGCCTCCTGATGCTGCTTAGAGATTTGTTATGGGCACTGTGGAAAATAAGAACAGGACTAAGTCTCTGGAATCTGATCTTAAAACATCCTTAAAGGGAGTACAGAGGTAGTAGTCAATGATGAATTGTCCCAGCAGTTTGAAATGAGAAAATGTCATATGCTGATACCAACTCTGTGCATGCTTTACAGTATTTGTCTAGGCCTCTGTTTTAAAAGAATAGAATTCTTTATTGACCAAGTGTGATTGGACACACAAAGAATTTGTCTTTGGTGTATATGCTCTCAATGTACATAAGGAGAATAAAATATATTTATCAAGAATAAAAAGATACAACACTTAGTGATAGTCAAGGTTACTAATAAGCTATCAAATCGTACTAGGAAACAAGTAAAAACAATATAAATTGAAAGATACAAGCAACATAGTTATAGTAATAAGTGAGAAGAGATAGATACTAGTAAAGAAGGGAAGAATAATAGTAATACAGTCTTAGTAAGTTATTTGACAGTGTTGTGGGAATTAGTTGTTCAGCAGAGTGACGGCATTTGGGAAAAAGATGTCCTTGTGTCTAGTTATGTGTCAGGGTTGTGATACATTCTTAGACTTCTTGAAAAGTCTAGTGCGTTGATAAATCAAGCCAAAAATGTACAGCTAGTACTCTATGATCATGATTGACAGCATTTTTTTTTAAAAAAAACAATGTTAATTTCTGGTTTTCAGCAAAAAATGCCCCATGGTAAACAATGGGTTTGCTTAATGACTATGGTGTTTGCTTAACAACCATTGCATTCACTTAACGATTCCTGCAAAAAAATGTTTTAAAATCACATGTGACAGTTATGATTGTCATAATCTGCTTCCAAAATTGCGATCTCAATTAATGTCATAAATTAAGAACTATCTAATGGTGAAAAAGTAAAATTATATAGTTTGGGATTTGCAACATGAACCTGTCCTACTATGAAGGGCCTAGAAAAGCATCTATCTGTTTGATATCTTCCTATCCATCTGTTCTCTTAATTAGGACAAATGTTCTCTCATATAAAAGTGGCACTTAAAAGTGCTATACAAAAGACTGCCCATAAGATTATTAGAATTACCTGTATTTCCCTGGCTTATTTATACATGTTGCTCCATTCTGGCATCCTAAGGATGTTCCTTCATAAATCTGGCATTCATTAACATCAACAGAACAATCTGGTCCCTGAAAAGAGAAGCACAGTTTATTTTCCAAGTAAATTGGTGATTAAAACGTGTGCATCAAGCCAATATATGATATAAAATTTCAAAAAGTACAAAGTAATGTTTCTCAATCTTGGCAAATTTGATCTCCAAGAATTCTCCAGCCAGCAGAATTCTGGCAGTCAAAATCCACGCATTTTAAAACTGTCAAGACTGGTATAGAGTATCCAACTTTCCCACCGTAATGCTTCCTTTATAAACAGTAAAACAAAACTTGGTTTGTGCCTGCACCTTCCTTGTTCATTTAAGTACAGCGCATTTTCATTTATTTCAAAGCATGGGAATACTGTAAAAAAGCATAAAACTCTTTTGAAAATCAGTTAGCCCTAAAAATTGATACTAGATATACAAAAAGATGTACATTATACTAAAAGATATACTATATATAGGGCCATTTGTGTAGTAATTAAGCTGCTGCTGTACTATTAGATGACCAAGATTAATTTTTTTTTTAAAAAAAGGTTTGTCTGCATGAATTAAACTGTAATTTTGTAGCTAGGGAGATAGATAAATTCTGCTCCCCCTCCCATTTTTTCCCCTAAACAACCCTCTTTTGTATATTTTTCAATTAAGAATCATCACAGCACAAACAAATGTAAGCAACTGAAAATTCTTGGGCTGGCTAGCATATTTTCAATACCTATGGATTCCATCACTAAGTAGTTCCCTTCTAACCATCCTTGGTATACAGCACTTTTCAAAATAATCAGACTCTCAACTGTCAGGTATTAAATGGAAGGGAAGGTTATGGAACTTAATAGCAGAATACAAATTTGCATGCCAAAAACACCCTTCAACTCTTGGCATCTCCAAGAAAAAGATCTCAAATAGCAGGTGACCAGGAAGACCTCCGTCTAAAAATCTAGAGAAAGAATTATGTAGTCTAAGTTACAGTATATGATGACTGGTCTGGACCCAGACAAATTATGCCTGAGATCAAGGACAGAATGCACAAGCTGGCTAGAAGAGCAATGGAATTTCAACCTGGATAATAGATATTCTGTCTCCACTGCCTAAAGTGGATGAACAGATTATGTGGTATACAATACCTCCAATTTGTAGTTCTCTTAATATCTATAGCAACTTATAATTTCTGCCTAGACTGCCCTATTGGCAAATATCTCCTGCACCATGTTATTCTGTTGCATGGGCATACAAGCTCTGCTTTGACTAGTTTCTGATTTCCTTTTATAAGTTAGACTGATTCCACTGGATTGACTCTTGTGTAGTGCAAAGTGCTGGTGCAAAGTGCATTTTATACATTGCAATACTAAAAACCTTACCTGCCAATTGTTGGGACAAAGACAAAAGAAAGCATCTGGTAAATTTATGCAAGTTCCAGAATTCTGGCAAGGGTTGCTATTACAGGCTTTTTTAAGGAAGGTCTGGAACAAAACATAAAGCAAAAATAAAGTCATTCTTTTAGCATTATTACTTCTGGCAATTAATTAACCCTAAAGTACATAAAAGGGTGTACATCATGTTACTCACTATCTCAAGATTATGAAGTCGGTCTTCAATATTCACAATCTGCAGCAGAAAAAGAATGGCATGTAGATTAGCATAAATCTATTTGTTGCCACCCTCATATATTACTCTGTTCTGTCCAGTTTCATAATTTTAATAAACCTACAAAGTCCCATAGTACAATTTTTTTTTTAGAAAAATGCAAAATTTCTATGTTACATTTATGCAACTTTTATGAATATTTGCAGATTTCAGGTAAATTGAATTCTAACTGACTTAAGATACTATTTCAACAGAATCTACTTTGAGAATTTTAGTATTTCCAGAGTTTAAAAAAATACAAAAAATCAAGAAAGATTTATTTTACTGCATTAATTGTAGGTGTTGATGTTTCAAAATAATTAAATTCGCCTTTACTAAAGATGAAGCCTTTCTAGAAATCCAGGGTAGACTATGATTGTGATGGCAAACCTATGGCACATGTGCCAAAGTGGCACGCAGAGCCCTCTCTCTGGCACGCATGCCATCATCCCTGGTCAGATCCCCGTGGTGTTTCTTTCATGAGGTTCTGTTTCCCTGCAAACGATGAAACAGAAGCTCACGAAAGAAAAAGATCTTACTTCTTGCTGTGCTGCCGATGTTGGATGCCCCGCGTCCTGCTGGCCAGCTGGTCTTTGGGTCTCTGCTGCACATGTGTGCATGTTTGTGCATGTGTGCGTGCATGTCTGTGCATGTCCGTCCATGCACGCATTCACATGTGCGCGTGTACCTTTCAGTTTGGGCACTTGGTGTCTAAAAGGTTCACCATCACTGATCTATGCAGTGCTTTTTAACACTTCATTGCCCTTCAGATTCTACTTCCTCATCTACATGAGGTGTCCTTCATATTCTTAAAGTAGTATTGGTCTCAATCACCATCCAATTTTCAAACGGTTAAGATATTAACCCATTAACAAGCAATGAATTATTCTCTTTTCAAAATTTACAGTTAATTCAAACAATTCATCTTTGGCAGTAGTTAAAAATGGATTTTATTTTTTATAGAATACATTTTTTATATGGCGAATAAAAAACAATTGATAGTTATCATAGGCTGCTCTTTGTGTGGCATAAAATATAGGATTCACAACCAGGATGTCAAAACTATTTTGCAGGACAGTAAATTAATCAATTAATTTGTTAGTTAAATGTGATGTTTGTACTAGATGTACAATATATATAAGTGATGACTAACCTTTTTGCCATTGTGTGCCAAAAGCGGGATAGTGGGGGGGGATTGTGTGAGTGGCCACACCCATTATTCAATGCGCCCGGTCCCCCCATGCATGCACGCGTGACCCTCCCCCGCTCTTGGCATGCGATGGCCCGGTGGGCCCGGTAGGCCCATTTTTTTGCCCTCCCCAGGCTCCAGAACCTTTCTAGGAGCCTGGCGAAACTGAAAAAGGCCTTCCCCACTCCCTGGAGGCCCTCAGGAGGCCTGGAAACAACCGGTTTCCTGACTTCCAGTGGGCCCAGAAGGCCCAAAAATCAGCTGGCCAGTGCGCACATGCGTGCTGGACTGAGGTAGGGCAATGCTCGCATGCCCACAGATATGGCTTCGTGTGCCACCTATGGCACCCGTGCCATAGGTTCGCCATCAGGGATATATATGATACATAAGAGATATTAAAAAATACCTGGGACTGAAGCTGGATGATCTCTGTGAGAGTTGTGTTGGTGAGTTTTTTTAGTTCTAGAATTTCATCTTTATTCCTTTGGATCTATATTTAGAAAGAAAAGGAATCAACAATTCTCAAATGCTTAAAAATTGCAGCAAGCATAATTCTCAGTGAATGAAGAAAACGCTGTCCAGGAAGAGGAAGAGACTCTGTTTCTTACTCTTTATAGGCCCTGCTGTTTTTAGAGATTGCTTCTGCTAGTTCTCCTCTTTCGAATGATGTATTTGCAGACAATGCTCCAATACCATTAACTTCCAGTCCAGGCAGAAAGACCCACATGATCAATTCATGTCAGGTGTGGGTTCTACTTACCTTTACTACCAGTTCGCAGTGGGGCCACACTTACTGGTTCTATAGAACTGGTGCAAACCGGGGGCAACCCACCACTGGTTCATGTGATAAAAATGGATGAGGTATCATGCTGCCAGTCTTGAGTGAGGAACTCTAAACCATCACTACACATAAAAGCTTACTGGCCAAATGCATGAAAGGTGGACTAGTTCCATTGAAGTAGGTCAGTAGTAGGAGGTCTAGCACTCTATCCCACACTCCACAGTGTTTGTTCAAATGAAGAGAATACTGCAAAATCCACCCATGTTACAACATTTGGGTATGACTTAGAGAGAGAGAGAAAAAGAATTGTAACACTAATGTTAGCTAAGACAGAGGTTATTCACCCTGAGAAACTCTTGAGTAACTTGACCCTTGGGGCAAAGTCCCTGAAGATTCTACAGGTTCCTAGATTCTAACAAAAGACAGAGACCCAATTGGTGTAATGCTTAAGTCACTTGGCTAGAATCCAGGAGACTGGATTTTTAATTATACCTTAGACACAAAGCCAGCTGGTCGACTCTCTCTTGACCCTCAGAAGGAGACAATGGCAAAACACTTCTGAAAAACCTTGCCAAGAAAATTGCAGGGATTAATCCAAACAGTTGAGGGGGAAGGAGGAGGAGGAGGAGGAGGAGAAGGAGGAAAGTTTGGATTTTACTGTGCATTTTTACTAACTGTGGGGACTTTTCTAATGTAGCTGGCATCTCTTCTAAACTAGGATATGTATTTACTATATTTCTATATAAAGGCATTTCTGAGTTGCCATACAAGTCAGAAATTTCAGTATGCATTTTAATATTAAACACTATTAGTTAAAAAACATAAAACTCCAGATAGTTGATTCAAAACCCAACATAATTAGGCTTTTATGAAGACTTTGTTTTCATCTCTACCATGCTATTGTGTCTACTCTTTCTTATCCTTCTAGTGACTGCTATCAGGCATCCCAGCTGGGCATGCTTTTGAAGTCTGAAAAGTGTTTTGTTGGGAAGGTGGTAATGTTTTCCAATGGGAGTTGAACTACAATAGCAAAAACATGAACTCTTGGCCAGCCACTACTGGCATTAGGTCATCATATACTTAGGCATTGCATTTTTGAGCATGGCAAATATTGGATGACACAGCAGAGGCCTATAATTAAACTAACAGTGACTGGAAGAATAAATAAACTATAGAACCTTATTTCATCTTTCTATGACAATTTTCAATCACTGGCCTATGCTGAAAAAATTATGAGAGAGGAGCTCCTTTCCTCAAACTGTAGAATTTTCATGAGCCTCAGATTGGTCTTGCAATCTATGCAAAATTATTGTAGCTGCTTGCCAAAATAAGAATAATCAAGCCTAATAAATGCATAAAGGCTGCATCACATGAGAGACCAAATCTATGGTCTGGATACTTATTGGCTGCCACATATCAAAGGACCTCAACAATCTCTCTCTCTCTCTCTCTCTCTCTCTCTCTCCCTCCCTCCCTCCCTCCCTCCCTCCCTCTGTGTATAGCTAGCTAGTTGGATGATAGATAGATAGATAGATAGATAGATAGATAGATAGAGTATAAGCAAAGAAGAAAAGTGATGGTTTAGTCAAACCAAATAAAACCACGCTGAAGGATATCATTTGAAATAACTGGGACACTTGATGATAAAGCCTTGTGCAATCAATTTATTGGTGTAGGCAATATATTTTACTGCCAGTGGAAATGTTACTATTCCTGCATGTTTGGAGATATTGTAGCTATTACCTTTAGTTATCAATATAATATATTCTGAGACTTTTGATATACAGCTGATTATAACCATTTTAAATACATAATTGTGATGTCTGAAATAATTGTCCTGGTTATGCACTGGATGCCTTTCAGTAACTGTATTCTCTGATCTATGTGTTACAAAAATATAATATATAAAAGTAATCTAGGAATTATAAAAATAAATAAAATCTATGGATTATCCTATTTTGGGACCAGATTATTTAATTTGGGACCAGATTAAAAATTTCTTTAGATAATATATTTATTTTAGAAAACAGTATATAATTGATGGGAATGTATATGAATCATCATGTGTCAACATATTTAAATCTGATTTTCTAAATCCCCTTTGAGCATTATTGAAGAATAGTATTTAGATAGTAAATAAATAACACTGTGAACAACAGATCCAAATCATTACCTGACTAAAAACATCAGCAAGGTCTTCTTCATTAAGTTTTATTCTGCCCTGTGATCCAGTTCTGAACTCAATATTCTTGGCAGAGCCAGTGTGGAAGACTAAATTGCCCTCTTCAGACGACATACGAGGCCTGATATGTCAAAGGGAACAACACACTATAAAGAACTTTAATGAAGCTACATAATTTATTCTATTTGTGTGACAACTTTTTTTCTGTATCTATATGAATGCAAGCAAGCTGTAATTAAAATGTCAAGAATGGTACTCACTGTGCCTGATTAATGTTCCTTCTGGATCTGTTTTTTTCATCAGAATTAGATCCATAGTTTTTCCCAAAAATTATCAATAATGTCACCAGGGTCCAAGGAAGAAAGCTTAGACACTTCATCTCTCACTTCCAGCCTTCTGGACTTGTGCAGTCAGTTAAAGTGAAATCTGTATTATCTTCAAGGATTAATCCTATGTCAGGTGAACTTTGCTCTTGAAAATGTCTTTGCATATTCATAGAGATGATTATTCAGCACTCTTTCTTTCCTCTCTTTCTTAGTTAGGAATGCTAAGGGTGATTTATTTGCTATAAAAGGAATAGTTGCCTATTCTATAAATCAGCAGTCACCAACTGGTGGTCCGTTGACCACTGGTGGTCTGTGAGAAAATGTTGATGGTCCGCAGAAAAATTATTTGCATTTTTAATATTGCACTAAATCAGGGATCCTTAGAGTACGGCCCCTGGGACGGATATGTGCAGTGAACGTTTGTGTTGCTGTAGAGAGTCTCCCCCTTTGAGGTCTTTTTGTGTGGGTCAGAGGGGGGCAGAAATTCCAACTTGGGATCTGCTTCGGCCTCCTGGTGCGGGGCTTTGGGTGAAGGCTGGAGGAAAGTGCCGCTGGTGGCGAAGAGCCGGAGGACCTTGTTCCAGTGGGACTGCCTCGTGGTCTGGAACTGGATGGCCATCTCAGCCTGCTGAGCCTCCAGGTGCCAGTACCTGGCCTTGTACTCACTCAGGTCTTCCCTCTACTTGGAAAGCCTATGATTGTAGTCCTCAGTGAGGTGCTTCTACTGAGCCTCCTTCTCGGTCAGATCCAATTTGAACTGAGCTGTTTTGCCCAACTCTTTCTCGTGGTGGCTGCTTAGCTCCAACAACGGCTTCCTGTTGGGGCCCTAAGGAGCCCGGGCGGGGAGGCAAGGAGCTGGCCATGCCCACCCAGGCACATGATCACCTAGTCACACCCACCAAGCCCGTCATTAGGCAGCTCATATTAGTGGTCTGCAGGAGTTAAAATTGTGAACTTAGTGGTCCCTGAGGTCTGAAAGGTTGGTAACCTCTGCTATAGATCATATTTGCAATTAACCTTTAAAAGTAAATCAACAGTTTCCCAAGACTTCTCTTGAGCAGGTACTGGAATATTGGTTCTTATTTTCTAATGGTGTGATGATGTACATGCACATTATTATATTGTCTCTTGAGAATTACAGCTTGGTTTTATCTAATTTGTACCTGCCTCATGTTTATGGTATTGACTGGAAATTCACTTCAGTTCATCACCATAAGGAAAAATTCCTGATTAAAAAAAGGAAGTTTTATATGTGAATATAAAGGAGCAATAATCATAATACTTATAATAAGAAACAAAATGACAGATAGAATATTTACAATTTATTAATCATTTTCAATCGATACCTATGAAAGATTCTTTGGCAAACACAGCTCAGGAGGCAGGAATTTGAATACTGAGGTATTATTAGAATTCATATTAACTCTTTGAGGTAGTTTAGACAAGCACATCCAGGTACTTATTTATTTATTTATTTATTTATTTATTTATTTATTTATTTATTTATTATTTAAACTTGTATGCCACCCTATCTTCGAAGGACTCAGGGCGGTTCACAACAATAAAAACAAGCAAAATCAATGTTAAAAATACCCAGTAAGATTTTAAAAAGACCATTAAAATCCCCTTTAAAACCCTTCAGTCCAAACCAGCCAGGTGAAATAACCATGTTTTAAGGTCACGGCGGAAAGAGCAAAGGTTAGGGGCCACCCGGAGCTCCAGGGGAGCTGATTCCAGAGTAGGTGCGCCCACAGAGAAGGCCCGCTCCCTAGGGGTCACCAGCCGACTTTGTCTGGCTGATGGCACCCCAAGTAGGGTCTCCCTGTGAGAACGCACCGGGCGATGGGGAGCTGTCGCTGGCCACAGATGGTCCACCAAATACCCTGGGCCTAAGCCATGTAGGGCTTTATAGGTAATCACCAGCACCTTGAATCTCACCCGGAGGGCAACCAGTAGCCAATGCAAGTCCCACAGGAGAGGTGTAACATGAGAGTGTCGGGACACTCCCATTACTACCCGCACGGCCGCATTTTGCACCAGCCTCTGAGTGGTCTTCAGGGGCAGCCCCATGTAGAGAGCATTGCAGTAGTCGATCCAGGAGGTAATGAGCGCATGGGTGACTGTGTGTAGGGCATCACGGTCCAGGTAGGGGCGCAACTGGCTCACCAGACGAATCTGAGCAAATGCCTTCCTGGTTACGGTCGTAACATGATCTTCAAAAATCAACCATGAATCCAGGAGGACGCTAAGTTGTGCGCCCTATCAACAGGGGGCAACACCTCACCCCCTATAGCCAATGATGGAATATTCCCTTGGAACCGGGATTCCGCTATCCACAGCCACTCTGTCTTGGCGGGGTTGAGCTGAAGCCTGTTCCTTCCCATCCAGAGCCGCTCTATCACTTACTCTATCTTTATTGACAGGTTACATTAATGGAATTTTACAAGTATTTCTCCCTTTCTTTTGCTCTGTGGAAAACCAGGAAAGGAAATCTTTCTCACATCCCTCTCCTATGGGATGATAAATCTTTGCATGGTTTTCCTCATGTAGCTCTCCCTCATGTCTCTCAAATATAGTTTCACACACCATTACAATTCAACAACTGTAAAAATATTGTAAGAGACAGCAAAAATGTTTCCTGGTCACAATTTAAATTGATGACAGGAAGAATTTACCTTTATTCTGATTTAGCTTTGTAACATTCATCTCTAATCAGACCCAGTGGTTATAAGGTATCATGAAGTCATAATATTCAATTTCCTAACTAGATCATATAGCATGAAACAAAATCCTAAGGGCTTAAATAGAAAAATAAATTATATCATAGAAACAGGGTAGAGGGACTGCAAGTGGCTTTGGAAAAGCACAAATATTAATTGAAACGGATGGGAGGTTTCCCTTCTTAACTTGCAAATATTTGGTTTGCAAACACTGGTACAACTTTAAATTTGCAGGGAGAAAGAGCCAAGGACAAAGGAGGGAGACTGCCACATTTAGGGAAGCCTAATTATATGATGGACAATAAGATGTTAGTGGGAAGAAAATTGAAAAAGAAAGGGATCTTTGGAGTGGAAAACTGTGTGTCGATATGCATCTAAGATCTAAACACATCTAAGAATGTTTTCCAAGTTTTTTTTTTTAAAAAAACTTCTACTGTTCAACTTTTTTGTTTTTAATCATTCTGATTCCTTTTAATCTTTGCAGAAGCAAATTATTATACTATGCCAATGAATAAAGATGATTTATTTAATTATTTAAATTAAATTAAATTATTTAAATTTATTTATTTATTTATTTAAACTTTAGCCTTTTTTCACACTTTCAGAAACAATTTCTGACATCTGTAGAAGATAGCCTAGGCATAAGTAAGAGAGGCTTGATGGCTGTGTTATCACTGGCAGAATATCAGAAGAGTGAGGGTTAGTCTACACCAATGTTTCTCAACCCTGACAACTTGAAAATGAATGAACTGCTAACTGAAGAATTCTGGAGGGGAACTCCACACATCTTCATGTTGCCACGGTTGAGAAACACCCTTAATCAATAACGTTGCAACTAAAAATATGGAATCAAATAAAAAATTAACATATCCACATTGCACATATTGCCATTAAATAATGGTTTTGTGGTATAATAAAACAGGAACATAAGAACATATTACAGGCCAGGTCATCTGGTTTTGTACAGTGAAACTGTCAGCAATTTTCCAGGCTTCATTTCTACCAGAGATTTCTTCAATCTTATCTAGACATACCCAAGATAAAGTATATGAGATATTCTATGTGGAAATCAGATGTTATATTATCTAGATACTGCCCTTCCACTAATTTCACAATAGTTTGTAGTTTATATTAACAAGATCTTTTAATGATACTTTTATATTACAGGAATGTATTATAGCTCAGTGGTGAAATAACAACTTTCCTCTAAAAAATTGATGGCACTTCCAACTAAAAGGTACATGTAGCAGGTTATGGAGGATTATTACTAGTCAGGAAATACTGACATTTTTTAAATCTAATGTATTTATAAGTTAGACAAATAGTCTGATGAAACAGAACAGTGAAATGTTCATAATGTGAACATGTTTTCTGGGAAAGATGGGAAATGTAACAACAGATAGAGCGATTGGAGAAAGCTGAAGTAGACTATTAGACAAGGTTTAGTTTGGTTTCAAATCTGCTCTTTGGAATACAGGTTCTAGGTTAACATATTTCATGTGTAAGGAAATAGGAAGAAGAAATAGAATATGTAAGTAAGAACTGAGTGAAGAGTATATAATAGGGTGAGGATGCTTTGAATCCAAAGTGGATAGCTAGTTTATTTTAATCAAGTTTGTCTGTAGCTTTTAAATGTTCAACTAAACTTCTAAAAAAGCAAACATCATCTTTCTTTCCCATCTCTTTTCCACACTAACAAAACAAATCAGTTTTTGTATATACCCCTACAAGATTTGGAACTTTTATTCATAACAATATTTTAGGAATTTGAGCAACTGTGTCAAAATAAAAAAGGAACATATCATTTGATTTTCTTGATAATATATCTTGAATCTCAATATTCTATGAGATGCAGAGACAAAAATGCTAAGCCTGTAAAAATTAAAAGGCAGATGTTTTCAAAAAATAGTTTTTGAAAATATTTTAAAATGTTCATCATATTGGAGATACGTTAAATGCTATCATACTTAAGATATACTTTACAATAAAAATTGAAGGAGTATTTATAAGAAATAAACAAGGAATAAACATTATCATACCTTATCAGCTATTTTGATATTCCATTGAGTATTATGTCTAAATATGAGTTTAAAATGAAATCCAGAGAGAAAATGAGTTAACACAAAGACAGTCTGGATTCATGATTCTGGATTTTTCTCTGAGACTTCACCACATAAATGCTCTGAATTCCTCACAGCTTCTGGAGGAAGCTGAGCCACAATACTGTAATTTATTAAGACTCTTTGATTTGTATATGAATATGGCTAAAACAAATTAATTTCCAGATTACTCCATAAATTCTTAGTATTGTTAATATAGCATTAATTTAGTCTGAATTAAATCTACTTTAAAACATATAATTATAGGAATCTTTTTTAGTATGCAAATGGAAGTTCATGATAATTTTCAAGTATATTTACCAAATACCTCTGTGTATTGTACTTATCTTCAGCAGTAATATGTTCAATATAGCTAATTATAGTTGGGTTTATTCAAGAAGATAGGCTAAAAATGTTAACCAGGGAGCCTGTTGTGTCTTCGAAATATTATAGATAAAATCCATTTTCAAATCTTCTCAGTCTTTTCTTCGGGTAGGGGAACATCTTCCTTCTGTTTCTTCACCAGAGTATTTCCCAAGGCAGATATTGAGGGTATATGTGTATATGCAGATTTTCAGAGGAATGGTGAATAGATAGAAGCTATCACATTGACAAGAGTTTAATTATATACACTTCTATAACTCTATAGCAGATGTTTTGAACAGTAAGTATGTTTTCAAGCTTGCATACTGTATGCTGACAGTCCTATCAACAGAATTCCAGATGCGATTATAGGATAGTCCTCTATGAACCTTAAAATTTCTCTCTTGTCTGAAAAGTGATTACATTAAAACTATTCAGAAACTAGATCTCTTGAATACTCATATAGTACCAAATAAGGGTTATAAGAATGTAGAAAGCCAGATTCGATTTCTTTGATAACTTTGAACCTAAGCAAATGATTGTTTTCTAATATCTACTCATGATTTATAATTATCAATTATTTTTAAATTTCCATCATAAGATGCTCTGTTTTTTCCTCTAACAACTGTGACAATTCTGGGCTCCTTTTACTGAAAAGTTGTTTTTCGTAGTTATCATTATTCTGAGTTCAATATTCTAAGAGGCACATACATTGATAATAATGAAACACTGGATCTACTAGCAAATCTGTATTGAGTCCAGAAGGTATTTGTCCTTTACTTTAAATATAAATACGGCGAGTGAAAAGACTGCTTGTTATTTTTATAATTACAGATGCTATTAACTGAATTTAGGGAATTTGACATGCAGAGATTTTATGATATATAGATTTACTTCACACAAAGTAAGTTGAGTTGCATCTTTAGCAATCATTCCCTGAGGAAACTTGAAAATTGTAAAGGTAAAGGTTTCTAACAAGAAATTATCATGAAATTACAATTCTAGAATTTCTTTGGGAGAAACAGTGATCAAATGATATTAAAAATAAAAGAGC